GTTATTTAAAAATGATCGAAGCTTATTTCCTGTTTCGGTGGGCATAGAAAGCTGTTTACAGGGGGAAAAGGGATTGTTACTAATAGAGTCTAACTGCCCCATTGATAACATATCAGATTTACGTCCACGCAGCTCCTAAAAACAATCGTAGTTAATTATATCAATTCATCATCATTGGGCCAATCGACTTATTTAATGTACGTTATATCAAGCCAATCCTTACTTATCATCCCTCAATGGTGTCCCGCCAGTGTATAACAACAGCTCATCAGTACACCATTTTATTTTCGCCTATTAAAAAAGAAACTATTTACCGAACTAACCATGTCAAATTCCTTAAACTTACGAGTATAAAGGCATATGAGTACAATATAACGATGACAAAAATATTTGGCAGCACGTTACCCTCACACAAATAGTAAGCAATATAAGTATCTCTTTAGTGATTTGAATTGATTTTAGTTTAACGTATTGGAGAAATACCGATTTTTCTTAGAAAGGTTAATGTCAGATTCGAATAAAAGAGTTATCTCTTTTATGTCATCACACTTGGTGAATATAATGATTATGATAATAGTAAGTTACCTATAACCCCTTATCATAAATAAGGAAAAATGTTATTAATAAATTTTCCTCGAAGTACATTAGAATAAATATCCATCGCTACATTTATTCAGTAAACTTCAAAAGAGGAAAGTTCTTTATACGATTATACTTTTCTGTATGGAACACACACGCCAATAAGGAATAATTTAAGGTTCACTTTGCTTGCTTTGGTTTGGTCAATCGATTTGCTTCTGAGAAAATCTTATATTTACATAAAGTATATAGTAAGTATAAACATCAAATTATGATTGCTTTATTGCTATATTGCTTTCTTTATTATGATTCCATTGCTATTCAGCGTAGAAATGCAGCAAGTATCCTAGGCACCCTACCAGCTGGCAGTGATCTCATAGAAATTTTTTATCTTTAAATAATTTTTAAACGTTTTAATTACTTTTTTTTGTTATTTGTAAATAAATTATGATTATATCCGTATAGTTATGAGTACTAAATCTTATCTTGATGCAATAAATAGAATCTTAGTTATTGTCTAACAATTAAACTAAATATACCTACTCTATATATAAACTCTATTCAGTAGTATGTTAATTCATCTATTCACTAGTATCTTAGATGTAATCTATAACAATACATATTTATTGTCATGGATGAGATAGAATGTTAATTCATTCTAATGGCCTTGTTTTTTTTTTTAAACACAGGGGGCAAACGAGCATGCGGCTCACCTGATATGACTTAGCCGCCCATGGTCACCCACAATAATACATATTTATGTGCTCATTGATGAAAAAGGAATATGTTGACTTATGTTGTCGTATCGGTCTAAATGGCTGCTGGAAGTTGATTCCAAAGTGTGGTTGTGCGTGGAAGAAAGTGCCTTGAAAAACGCACGGTGGAGGACCGCCACTCGTCCAGATGGTTGGGATGAAATTTTAGTCAATGGTGAAAATCTCAAGTATCATCCGATAATTACACAGAGATGCAACATCTCTACGCAGTTTCAGTGGGTCGAGCCGGACAGTACTTTTGTATGGCCTAGTATAAGGAAAAAATAAAATCAAATCTCATCTTAATTACTGGAAAAAATTACAAAATCTTCTGGGAATGAGGATCACGTGGAGGTTAACTTGTCAGGTGATATATTGTTAGCACTGGCGATTAGTATTCCCATTGTCCCTTACTCCAATATACATATTTAGATGACAAACTTGACTGTCTTATACAAATTTTAGCAATTTGGCAATTTTTGGCATTGAAGACACAAGTGCGGTTTCTCTGTTACGAGGTAACATCCGCGAGAATGGATCCATAATAAATTATCCCATAGATGATCCCAATATGCATATCTATTTGATGGATTTTTACCTCTTTAATTTGCGCATGAAAATATTTCAACCTATGTAATTATGAAATGCGATCATGTATGATAAACATATCTGTCAGCCCTTTTTCTTCGTTTATTTTCGTCAGGGACAACCTTATCGGTATTCACTCAAAGCTTACAAACAACTCTGCATTGAAAACTCGCAACGTTGTCACTAGGTTTTATTTTACGTTTTCATTGTCACTGGATTCCACGTATTTAACAGTTTGAACCCGTTTTCACGATTGAAGTTAGTACATTTGGTGATTTCAATAGCCGCCTTGGCTAATCATAAAGTAACGCTTCATAGTATATCTAAAGTTTATGGAATCGCTTCCGACTCCAAAAAAAGTTCAATAATTACCTACAGATTTTTATATTTGTGTTATTTTTCAACTATTTTCAACCGATTTCAAAAAAAGAAGGTTCTCAATACAATTGTATATTTTTACGTTTGTTATACTTAATAATTTCGTCAGTTGTAAACCAATTTGGAATTTATTTTTATTCGAAAAAGTATGTATATAATTACAAATTAGTCTCAAAGAAATTTTATCACACTAATTGTGATAAAATTAATTTGATTAGTATTCAAAATAATTAGTTTTGCCACACTTAAAGTCGGATTTTTTCTGGAATACGATCTTAATCACATTAGACCTTTTATAATAATGTTGTAGAATGCAATAAATAAATTGAATTGAATTAATTATAATGTTAAAGAAAAAAAAATATGCAAAGTACATATACTGAAATTACCTACTTTAAATGTAAGTAGTTATAGATATCTACATAATCTGTGAAATAACTATGTAACGTAACGTGTCTGTTAAACTGTATCTTATCTATTTAAATTTGGGATACAAATACTTTTAAAACATGAATACAATTGGTACCTATTATGTTTTTATAGTATTGAAATTCTAGAATCGATTCTATACAAATAATAGAATGAATGGATATTTTTAAAACATACATGTACGTACATAAACTATCTTGAGTTCGTGATCGGAAATAGGTCACAATTCCAAGTACCATTAGTATGATAATAATGAACGAGATAATATCATCGGAGCATGTAGGATACATACTATATGTTTGGTAATACGTTAAACCTCATATGATATAGGTTTATAAGAATTTAAATTCTCTAATTCTTACTAAAATGTATTATACATAAAATACTTTCTATTCTACCCTACTACTCTAATAGCGTAGTATGTAAAATATACTGAATTCTACTGATACTGGCTGCACCATAATGAACTTTATATAGCAGTGTTACGTTTACTTACAATTATTTTTCTGATTTTATTCGCACTTTAGAGTATATCGACTGATGACGCTTATCTACTAAAAGTATTGAAATTAACCGAAATTAAAATTTTGGACACAACAAATTTTTTAAAGGATAAGATTAAATAATTAATTTTGGTTCTTGTTCAGAAAAAAATAGGTATATTTTGTTATTACAATATTGTTCAAGCTTCTACTTGATTAGTTGTGCTTATTTTTAAAATAAAAATAAAATAAAAGGTTATCGTACTCGTATAGGTAAATTTTTTTCAACATATCGAGTTAAAGTTGATTCCTGAGGATTCAATTTTTTAAAATTCAATAAAGATTGATTAGTTGTTTTCATTTTTGTATTTAAAAAAAATTATCGTAGAATTTTTTCCAGTATATATTTAAATTGTGATGAAAATTACAATTTTTTTTGCAAGAAATACAAAAAAAATATTATGCAATTTTTAGTTTTATTTAAAATATATACAGCATAGTTTATATAATATATTAAAAATATATAATATATATATATACTATAGTTTATATAATATATTTTATAGTTTCTCTGGCTAGTCATAAACTTGTCCACTTACTTGTGCCGGTTTATCGTTGTGTTTCGGGAGTCGTTGTATATATAAATATAACGCCTACTATTTTTAGTACAGCAGAATCTAAATTACGCTACTTTAAAAATGTGAATGAAATTATACTATTTATAGGAATAGGTATCTTACAAACAGATAGTAGGTATAATATATCTTCTTCCTACTTATATCCCAATTATTATATGGGGTCGGCGTAATATTTTTTTTTTATCTATATTATAAAAAGATTTGGCTTAGTTTTACGACCGATCGCCTGTCTGATGTCAACCCTCTTTGGGAATGCATTTGTTGGTGGTTTTCGCCACCTACGGTATGGAGGAAAAGATCGAGGAAAAAAGGAAGGGAACGTTGGAAATATTTAAAGGAAATTAGTAAATAAGAGAAATAAGGGATTTATGTGGGAAAGGAAAGGGGGGAACTTGCAGCGCTTCGGGAGGCCGGGGTCGCATACTCGTATGGCCTTATTCTAGAATCGAACAGATTACTAGAGAAAAACACCCTTGACGCGTATAGTAGGTATAATATATCAAATATATTAATTTAGTATGTGGTTGTAAGCGATTTGTCTACTTGCAGTCACAATCTAAAATTAAACAAACTATATTCTTCATTTAAGAGTAAGTTACCCAATAACTAGGGCTAACAGTTGCTGAGTCGCCTTAATTTGGTTTGTTAACTGTATATTTTATCATCATTTAATATCTAATATTTATAATAATATTCACCCGGTGATAAGTACTACAATCTATATAATATTGTAAAACAAATTGCCACAATCTGTAGGTATTCCTAACAGACTCAATTATAGGTGCGTAATAGGTACTTAGTAAATCACGATATTGTAATATACTTTATTATAGGATAGATGGTTAATATAATGTAAGAATTAATTTAAATCCTTTAATTTTAATTATGTTTAATTATGTTAGATTTTATTAATTTATTTTCCAAAAGCGTAGTAAAATAATTTCTAATGATGTCATTATAATTTTTTGTTTTACGTAAAATAATATATTACTTATGTTTTTTACGTATTTATTCAGACCTATATACTAAATAAACAAGCACGTATTATTTCCTTTCAATTTATTTTAAAGCGGGTAGGTATTTAAGATTATTCATATCACATTGAAATAATTAATCTAAAGATAACAATAGATTGTAGTTGCAGATAATTTACAAACATACGTCTCTTTGACGCGTTAGTACGGACGTGTCATCAAAAGAAAACAGCTACAAGAGACAATCAACAAAGCTGTTGTGTTTTCAATTTGTTGAGAAATGTTCGATGTTGTTCTATATTCAAACTTAAATTAATAGTGACACTGGTTATATGCATATTATTCCCGATTTCTGTGAAATATTTTGTGGCAATGGTTTCCTTTCATGATATTACATGAGTGTCTTTACAGTGTATTACATATCTGAATATGTATAGACTTGATAGCTTATTTACTCTGATCTGTTTCTGTGGGATTGTTGGACAAAGCCTTTGTCAGGTATTTTTAAAAATTATTAATCGAATGTACGACTAGTTTATTATAACCAGTGGCGGACTAACGGAAGGGCAGAAGTGGTGAGCCGCCCCGAGTCTCTGATTCTAGGTGTCCTCCTCCTTTTTTCTCAGCCATAATTATATATAAAAAGCTTGTAAAATTATATCATTTTAAAATGGAACCCTTATTGCGCTTTGCCGCCCATGGTTTCCGATGGACTTACGTCTGTTACTGAGTATAATGCATCATCCTACGAAATTGCATGCATATTTATAACATTGCGTTATTATTAATCATACTTTTACACATCTTTTATATAAATAGTATTATATTTTTTTAATCAACAATAAAAATATTATTTATTATCTTTATTTCTCACCCGTATTAAGTGCTCCATGTATTTAGTTAGGATACCGTATTTTTTTATACCCATGTACCAAATTCCATTCAAATCCGTTAAATCAAACCGTTTAATTGAACTGAGAAACAAATATCTAAATATTTTTACAAACTCATTTATAATATCAGGTAGTAAATTTTAATAATTTAACCATCATAGATAATTAAATAATTGTAACCTGCAGGTTGTCAACATTCATGTAACAATGACTAATAAAATCGGAAAAAAAAACTTTTTATAATATGTAAGTTATCTCAACGACGTACAGATTTAACAAATTGCTTCACCTTCCTATGGTTTAATACATAATACAGACATTATGTATTAAATAGTACGAGTATATATCGACAACTACGAGCGTAGGTGGATATTTGTTAGGTCTAAGAAATTTTATTTGTATTAGTCTACAAGTTAATTAATGAATAATCCCCTTTAAAATACTAGATTAGAATGTATTAGTTTTTGCTTGCGACTTCGTCTGCGTGATTGTGATATATTTACATGATGGGATAAAAATAGCCTATATCATTCTCCGTCCCAAGTAGTACATATTTATTAATTTTCATAAAGATCGATTGATTCGTTAAGTAGGTGACGAACTAATAAACATCTTAGTAATATAATAAATATGTCTATATATGAAAGATATTAAAGAAAAATTAATATGAGGGATCTTAATAAGACAAAAAGAAGCCAAAACAATAATTTTTAGAAATTATTGTCTGTCTGTTAATCTGTATGTTTGTTCCAACATCACATAAAAACTACTGCACTGAATTGGATGCGGTTTTACATTTGTGTTCCTTAAGTTAGACAACTTAAAATTTGGTATAAATTTTATCTTCATGCGCCATATATAACAGAAGAGGTTTTCCTACTTTTAAAATCCACGCGTATGAAGTAGTGGCCAGAAAGTTAGTTTATAATATCAATAACGATGAGTTAAGTTCATTTATGTGGGTAATACGCAGCCTAGCAAAATAAAAAGCTTTCACTTGTAACCACAGGAAACAAGGGGGAAAGGGATTGTTAGTAATGGAGACTGAGAATTCCATTGCTAGCAATATACCCAACCAGGTCGACCTCCTCGCGGTTCTCCCTGGAAACTATCATGGTTAATTCCTGATGAGTTCACCATTATGGGCTAACTGGCCTGTTTTCATTCTCATCTATCACCCTTCACTGGTGCTCCGCCAGCGTATCCCGTTAGCGCAGGCGGGGTTACCATACCATTTTCACCCATCAAAAAAAAAACCATAGGAAACATCTGTACAAAAATCGTCTGCTTTGATTCTTCTCTTCCACCACTACAAAGCAATTGTCTATCCAGACAATTTATTTGCGGTAGTAGTACATCCGTATTTGGGTTCAAACACAGATCTGGTAGTAAAATATGTGCTTGTAAATTGCTATCATCATCATATCAGCCGTTAATTCTCCACTGCTGAACAACGGCCTCCTCCATTAGTTTTGCCAGTAGTTGCCACGCTTAGCCGGCGGGTTGGTAAATTGCAATGCTTATGGTATATTCTACATCAAATGACAGTGCGAAATTTATGTAATTCATCATGGATTTAAAAATAAGGTGTTTAGTTAAGAATTACCTTCTTATCTGGATAATCCGTATTAAATATAGACATCATTATCAGGATAAATATTGCAATCGTAGAACCGCGCCCTTGGCACAATCTAATTTATAGTACTTGAGCAACTATCTGTCTATACTTAATTTAACGAGGACAATTTTAACTGTAATTATGTTGGTCATAAATCTAGCCTTCCTAGCAAATAAGTTTTATGACAAATTGTTTTTATTTAAAAACGCCAATAATAAATTGTAAGATTTCAATCTCTGTCTGTATACCATCATAATGTACAAACAGATGATATGATTTTAATACACTGTTTTATATTTTATAGCTTTAGTTTAGATTCTTGGTTACGTTTACTGCTTTCGATACTGAGTGTTTGGAGATGCTCAGCAGTCAGAAATTCGAAAATTTTCATCTTATCAAGAATATCGATTGTTTCTCAAATTATCTGTATAACATACCATATAAAAGTTCCATATTTGAAATGTCCATAAAGTGTACATTAGAGATTATTAGAATATTATTTTTTTATTTATTTATACCTTATTGTACCAACTAATAATACATAAAAATATGACAGAGGTAAGTAAATGTACAAAGACGAGCTTAACTCTAAAAGAATTCTCTTCCAGAAAACGCAAAGTGGAAAGAACATCAGTGTTAGTGGGTAGAGCGGTGTACAATATTGTGACAATTTTCAAACAAAAAGAACTAGAAAAATTAAAATATATACTTAGACATACATACTTATATATACAAATAATAAATTATATATTTTATTATATACTCTTAATCATACTTATATTTTATTTTAATGAACTAGGTGTTATTTTGCAAAGGTCTAAACCACTAGTTATTTGAGTAGAATTGTTATGTTCAATTCCGCTTCCATTAGTAGGTATGTGTGTGACTGCTAACACTCAAAGATTGACAGATGGCTGTTACATTATTAAGCACTGGTCGTTTATAATGAAGCATAAATTTAACCACATTAACTTTCCAAATAATTCTATGTTTGAACTTCTTAGATTAGTTTCGATTTATAGACAGATAGTAAAAAATTATGATCAGGATCTGATGATAAGCTTCTAATTGGACGAGTCGATTGTATTATAATTTTTAACAAAATTTTACAAATAGTCATTTTTAAATCTTTATTATTTGTACACTTTTGTTTCAAAACTTTTATCAATGTAACAAATACGTAATTCCCTTTCACACATCGTTTTTGCGTAAGTACGCATGCCAAAAATACGTATTATCTTAAGGTCATCAATACATCAGATATTACAAAAATAAAACATATTTTCACATTTTAGTTGTCATATTTAAGGACGCAGTATATAATTTAGATAGTAATTATATTAATATAAAATTTCTAGTTTAATGTTTTACTAGAGTTCATCTTCACTTTATGAGAAACTTAACTGATATATAATATCCATCCGTTCCATATTATCATCTAAATTGCAAGTTGACTGCTCCTTGTAATTACTGATTGCTTTACTGTTATTTAAGACTCCTTCTAAATCGTCAATTAATACTTAGAATTGGTCAATATATTTTCAATTGTTTTGTTGCATACTAGAGATCGGCCCCGGCTTCGCACAGGTCACAGAAGATTGAAAAATAGTATAATAATTTATATTAGCTTTAATTTGTATTATATTTTTGTAATTTTCGTAGAGAACTCTGTAGCTTTCTCTAGGTAAAAGAATTAAATAGGTTAAAATAGTAATTTTATTATTTGTCCGTTACAAACAAAAAATATAATCTTTCTTCTTTATAATATTAGTATAGAAATGTCGCAGCATTTTAACAAAATAAAGCTGTAAAATGATATATTGAAACAAAAATAATAATATTTAAAATGTGTTCTACACAAAAAAAAGACAACGTATTCAATTGTAGTAAACCCAAATATTTTTATTTAAAAACTATTAAACTGATTTTGATAATATTCCTATGCTCTCTGTAACTATATCCTTTCAGATAAAAAATGTTCCAAATCGGTTTACAACTGACAGAGTTATGACGTAACAAACATAAAAACAAAGTATAACCGAATTGAGAACCTTCTTTTTGAAGTCAGTTGAAAAATATAAAAATGATGTTACTCTGAGGGTCACGTGGCCCTTGGCATTTACTCATACATACCTTCGTCCTGAAAAGTGCTACAATGCTGAACACTCCGCACCAGTCACAATTTGAGCTGTGATGTAATGAGATTACCTAATCTCATTTTATTTTAGCACGGCTACTAAAAATGGCAAGTGCACACAATACCAACGCGAACACACAATAACAGGTGAAAGTTGAATGTACGGAACTTTTTTTTTAAAATTTAAAGTTTTCTTTATTTTTTCATTGCAGACTGATTATTGTTCTTCTCATGGACTTAATGTTGTCCGAGGGGAAGCATTGGACGTATGGCTTCCCCGTAACGCCAGGGTTGCTATTAGCACCAATCAGCTGAATTGCAGCAAGCCCGACTTTTATATTTGTGAAGTAAGTAACATTTACTTTATCGCGAGAGGAAAATTAAAATACACAGCACATACTATTTTGTGCGACTATTCTGAGTACATATACCACGGTCTTATCTATTTCTGTCATGCAAGCGACAATGGATATGCATTATTGAATTTCAGTCTAAACGGACTTAGTGCAATATCGGTATTTACTCTCATGTTGATTCCCTATTAATTTAGTCACAAATTAAGTTGTTTTTTTAAGAAGCAAAATCTCCATAAATTTCTTATTCTTAGATTAGTGGGTAGATATTTCTTGCATACTCTATATCTACTCTAGTTTTTTGTCTGACAATATTTAAAAGGCCAGGGTGTATTAGATATAACGCGCCTTAACTTACACTGAATTAGAAGTAAGCAACCGATTCAGCAGCTAAGAACTGCCAAAGCGATAAACTGTGATGTATTATGCGTTATAAAGTCATGAGTTCTAGAACCTTTGTAGAAGATTTTATTTAATAGACTTACATGCCACTTTTAAGTCTTAATGATATATTTATTTTTTAGGAACCACCAGATTTAGTACCACTTGATGATGCAAGAGTCTGTAACTACCGTAATGGTAACTACCACGAGCAAATCTTCCACTGGGTCGCTGGTTGTGGGTGTCTGCTCTTCACTCCAGATTTTCTGTTTGTTGGTGGTGCTAATTCAATTAATATGAGTGCTAGTTGTTTATACGAGCGTCGGTTAGCGCCTTGCATTGAAATTGTAAGTTATAAATATACGACAATCGTCACCTGAATCATGCATGGGCATATACTTACGAACATACTATAAATTTTTACGTCTCGTCACGAAATTTATCCTTTATGGATATATAAGAATTTTATAGAGAAACATAATGTATGTTTTCAACTATTCCAAAAATATGCACTAATATTTACATGTTGTAGGCAAAAAAAGATGGCACATGTGGTTGTTATCCTTTTGACCCTGGTTTAGATGAGGTTGTAAAAGCTGTGCAGGATGCTCTTATTCCTACGGCCCACGAACGTTGGCAGAGATGCTTTTATGCAGCCAAGGATTGCTGTGACCAATATCTGATGGAAGATACTCTTTCAAACGGTAAGTTTCTTAACATATTATTATCATAATGATTATATAGTAAGGAATATAGTAGCTATATATACATAGGTACAAAGATTGTAAAATTATGTAGGTATATAAACAAAACAGAATAACAATATTTTTTTTAATTATTGACAATAAAGTGGTAATCCCGTAGGTTTTATTATTTGATGGCGGGAGTAGTGTTTTACAACATAAATATAAGAATTAGATAATAAAAGCGATCTTTTGAAGATCAACAATTTTCTAAAGAATTTGATATTTATAATTTATGTTCCAGAAGAATTTTCTAACACACTATATTAGAGGGGGGGGGATTGTTAGCAATGGAGATTGACAGTACCATTACTAGCAATTTTCCCTATTAGGTCGATCTCCACGTAGTTCCCCCTGGAAACCATCGTGAACAATCCTTGTTGAATTCATCACGATGGGTTAACTGACCTGCTTCATCTTCACTTATCATCCACATTACTTCGTCAATTCTGAATCGATTTTAATGATTTTTTAACAAAAGATTAAAAATAACATATAATAATATAACATAATAATAACAATAATTAGCCTTCCAAAGTCCAACCCCGCGTCCGAGCTCACCATCTAGCTCACGTGGAAGGCGGTCACGCGTATAAATTAAACCTACGCGGCTAAAGGGGCAATGGCAAAAATAAAGATGGCGGATAATAATAACGGAGAGAGTATAGGGTCGCTGCCCGGGGGTCGCCGGGGCGCGTCTACAACTGGCGGTAGGCGCGGCAGAATGCGAGCCAGCCGACCGGCCCCACCACCTGGCCGGTCCGACCCCTCGCCATCGACATCAGCTGGCTTGGCGCCGGCAGGGCCGTCACAGGCCCAGCAATCGGTGCCCGCCACTGGTGGTACACGTCGCATGAGGTGGACAAGAGCCATGAATGAGGACCTCATGCGTGCGTTCTTCAGGGCTACAGGGACAGAAACAGGCAGAACAGGATATAATTTTCTGCGTCTTTTACCGGATCTAACCGTCTCGGAACAGAACCTAGCCGACAGAGTTCGGTACATACAGCGCTCTGGTATGTTTAGCGCGACCGAACTCGAACGATTGCGAAGTGAAGTTGTTCCAGAAGCAAATTCCGCGATTCTCAGACGTGCTACCTAGCGTAGAGGTGTTTGCCGAAACGCTTTCAGAAGCGGATGCGGACGGAACAACTTCCCAGGATATAGAGCATATGAGGAGCATACTAGAGGAGGCGATTCTAGAGATCCGAAGAACTCCCCTCGAAGAGAGACCGAAGCTTCCCCGGATATATCCAAATGTGGCGACGCGGGATGCCATTGAGGCCACAAATGGACTGCTGCCTCAGTACCTTGAGGGCAGCGGTGACCTGGGAGAGACGAGTTCAATCCTGTTAGGTGCTGCGTTGGCAGTATGCCGATATACCGGCGCAAAAATGCCCCGGGCTGGACGTAATATCCAAAGGGATAATATGAAACCAGCCTGGAAAAGAAGGATTGAACGACGGATCGCCCAGGCCAGAGTCCTCATTGGTAGACTGCTCTGCTTCAGGGAGGGCAACACACGCCCGAGAATTATGCGCTCCGTAAAAGAGGCCTTTGCTGGGACAGGTGTACGTCTGTTCCAGCCGGACTTCGGGCACAAACTTACGGAGCGCATAGATGAACTGAAGCAGAAGATCGCTGCATGGGGGAAGCGACTCACGGTACTCTGAGAGGGTTGAGAGGTATCAACAGAATCGCCTCTTTATGAGTGATCAACGGAAGTTTTATAGGAACTTGGAGCGCCCAAAACTACAGCCCACAGGACAAAGACCCGAAACAGCCAATTTCGTCGCCTTCTGGAGACAGCTGTGGTCTGAACCTGTGGAACATGAGGAGGGCGCATGGATGCACGATGTTGAGAAAGCATGTGCTCGAATAACGCCGATGAACGCCATTGCCATTACGGAGGAAGACGTGGTTGCCGCGATCCGTCGGGCTCCGAACTGGAAAAGTCCGGGGATCGACGGATTGCAGCACTACTGGTTAAAGGCGTTCTCGGCCAGCCATGCGATCTTAGCCGTGCAATTCCAGAGTGCCCTCGAAAACAGGGCGCTCCCGAACTTCCTTACAACCGGGATCACTCATTTAGCTCCTAAGACGGACGATACCGCGGATCCATCTAAATATCGCCCCATCACTTGTCTTACGACAATATATAAGACGTTAACATCCGTTCTGAGCGCTAAGATCTCTCGTCATGTGTACGAGAATAAGATCCTATCTAGCGCTCAGAACGGATGCAGGGGCGGTAGCCGCGGATCGAAGGAGCTTCTCCTCATTGATACTGTCGCTGGGCACGTGGTCAAGCGGAACCGTCGGAATTTCTCCGCCGCCTGGATAGATTATAAAAAGGCGTTCGATTCCGTGCCCCATTCATGGCTCCGGAGGATACTCGAGCTGTACAAGATCGACGGTACAGTTCGAGTGTTCTTGGAGGCATGCATGAGGCAGTACGACGATACTATCCAGGGCGAGCGATTGACGGATACCGCTGACCGGATAGAGATAAAGAGAGAAATATTCCAGGGCGATTGTTTGAGTCCAAATCCACTCAGTTTTAAGAATTCGGGGACTGGATTTCAGTATCGGAGAGGAACCTTGAATAAACTGCTAATCCGAGCGTAAACGGAGCTGCTAAATATATTATAAGCTCTATTAGGATGGCGCTCGGAATAGACAAGTGCGCGGTCCTCCATGTGCAGAGGGGACGGGTCACTCAAACTGAAGGGATCGCCACAGATCCCTCTAATATTAAAACCCTCTCCGAGGCTGAAACATACCGGTATCTGGGCATGTCACAAAACATCGGTGTGAAGGAGACGGATATGAAACAGTCAGTCCGCGAGGAATTTTTTGCGCGCCTTACAAGAGTACTGAAAAGTTCCTTGTCGGGCGCCAATAAAATCCGAGCTTATAACGGCTGGGTCATACCCGTACTCCTTTACACTTTTGGCGTGCTCAGATGGTCTCAAACCGAACTCGAAGCCCTGGATCGGAAAGTCCGCACAACTATGACCCTCCATAGAATGCATCACCCGAAATCGTCAGTCATGATGGTGGTCGAGGCTATTAAGACCATGCACAACCGCGAGATTGACAGCCTCATATTTTCTGGAGAAAAGAGACGAGGGTTTGCATAGAGAGGTCATAGAATGTGACAAAGGATTCACCCCTCTTTCTCTGGCTAAAGAGGACTGGCGAAAACCCGAAGTTTTGAGTACCTCTCAGCGGGAGGCCGTATGGAAAGAGAAGGAGTTGCACGGAAGGTTCTTCAAAGCCCTTCACGGGCCGTACGTAAACACGAAGACCTCCGTGCACTGGCTACAGTTCGGTGATCTCTTCGGAGAGACCGAGGGTTTTGTCTGTGCAATACAGGATCAGGTGGTTAAGACTTACCGAAAGCACATTCTGAAGGATGGCACTGAGGACATCTGTCGAGCATGTCGCCATCCTGGAGAGTCACTCAGACATGTGCTTTCGGGTTGTTCAGTTTGCCAACACAGAGTACTTGCACAGGCACAACCAGGTAGCCAAAATACTCCATCAAGAGCTAGCTCTGAAGTACGGCCTCGCGAATGAGAGGTTGCCGTACTATAAGTACGAGCCACAGCCGGTCCTCGAAAGCGACAGCGTCAGGCTCTACTGGGACCGATCCATCATCACGGACAGGACTGTTCTTGCGAACAAACCTGATATCGTGGTGATGGACCGGGCACTTTCGAGGGTGTTTTTGGTGGATGTCACCATACCGCATGACGAGAACCTCGTGAAAGCCGAAACCGAGAAGAAGAGAAAATATCTCGACCTGGCTCACGAGGTGACCGAAATGTGGGGGGTGACATCTACCGAAATCATCCCAATCGTTATGTCGGTGAACGGTATCCCAACCAGTCTGGAACAACATCTCAGACGGTTGGGATTCCGAGGCACATCCCGGGAAAGATGCAGAAAGCGGTGCTCTTAGATTCTGCCCGCATTGTACGCCGGTTTCTCTCCCTGGGGCCCTGAACCCCGGCCGACTGTGCTTCTACCGGGGGTTAGTTGCCATCTCCTCTCCTTAAGAGGGGAGATGAGAATTTTGGTAAAATTTAAAAACAATAATTAATATAAATTTTATCAAGATCGAAGACGGTTTCTCTATGGAATAATTCTTAAATTATGAGAAGAAAAAATACTTAAATTATCTAAGAATAGTATTTAATTCGGATTAAAAATGTATTAAAACAATATATCTACATCGTATTATTACGGATACGAGTACGTACTTAAATGTAAACACTTCTAGAGTACCGGTACTAGTATGGTATGATTCTATCTGTGGTATTGGTTAAGTTTTAACTTGGCGCATGTTGTGCAGACAGGAAATGGTATAGGTACGTATGCCCAAATAAGCGTATTTCTACGTAATAGGTCCACATGTCAGACAGATAACAAACACTTAATAGCTCTTCATATTAAGCTTCAGTTTATAAACCTACATACGAATAATAATTTGTACAAGATGGCATTAATCGCATTTTCTTGGAATATTTCATTAGTCATTACGCATATTTATTTATTTGTTTACGCGAATGACGGCTAAATAATTAACTGTGTAGTTAGATAATTATTGTGAATCGTAGATACCTAAAAATTTATCTATTACGCTGTGATTATATTAATCCTTCTTATTTACGAACTCCGTTTTATTTAGTTTAAGGTATAACAGAATAAAAATATTTAAATACTTATTAAAATTTTAATGTACTACACAGCATGTTCAACAGTGGACAATGAATAGGTTGTATTCATGATGATTGCATAACATACCAGTCTTAGTCGCACATATTATTTATAGAATACTGAAATCGGGTGATGGCGGTAAGCTCGCACGAGGTCATTTGGTTACTTATATGCTTGATGAAATGTGAACATGTCGAGCAATGCGTTCTCCGTAACGCTAATAGTCAATAAATAAGTCTGATTAGGAAAGGGGATTACCAGTAAGTAAACGGTTTTTTAACAGGTGAAGATAAAATAGTCACCCCACTTGCGATATCGGTATATATTGGCGCGGCACTTGTGAGGGATGATAGGTAAGAATGAAAGGATGCCAGTTAGTCAATCATGAAGAATATAAGTATTAATCACGACGGTTCCAAGGAGTAACCGCGTGGAGGTTGATCTTTATATTTACTAGTAATATCCTAGGTTAAAATTCATAGTTGTAACTTCTGGTAACAATGTTATGATTGGTCAACTGACCTGCTTTCGTTCTTACCTATTATCCCTCATTTAAATGTCGCTAGCGAAAATAAATATTGCAAGTATGATTAACATTAAATTTTCATTCCTAAACCTAGGATTGCAATTGTATGCGTATATACTGAAATACTAAATAAATTAAATTATAATATTAAATTTATAATAGTCATAGTAAACTAAAACCAATAGCGAAATATCTAAGTATTTATTTTTTATCATCAATCTTTATCTTAGGCTTAGAGCGAGTACTTTGTCATTACATATGTGTCGAATGTTCTAGGTGAGACCCGATGTGGGACAACTTTCGATGGCTGGACATGTTGGCGGGGCGCCCCAGCTGACACCATCGCTTATGAAGTGTGTTCCGAGTTTGCGTACTCTAATTCGGGGCCAACTTGTTCTCGTAAGTTATTACAGTTTTGACGAGTCTCAACGGTTTTTTTTTTTATTTTCACAAATAAATTTAAATGAAAATTAAATCATGACTAATGCCATAAAATTATGTATTAATAATAATAGTAATAAAAATACATGTAGGTAGTTTGTGCTTAGACTTTTTATTTGCACTATCTATCTAAAAGTAATAGATAACATTATAATCTTTGCGATATTCTTTTGTGCTTTACCTTATATACATTTATATCATAAGTGATGACATTAGAATTGTTAGACCTTGAATCACAATAACTAGCAGTTTTTATTATTGATTTTATTGATTTTTGTACTTTCATCACTGTTGTGATTAGAAATATATGTTCTGATGACATTATAAAAGAATTCGTAGTTAGACCGTGAATCACAATACCTAGCAGTTTTTTTATTATTATACAATACCTTTTTCAAATGAGAACGAAAAAAAATATTGGTTTTAAATATTGACCTTAAAACTATTTCGGCTTTCACTTGTAATGTTCACTGTTGTGATTATATAAATACTACAATATATGTTTTTATACATTTCTTTTTTCTCTTTTTAGATAGATTAGATTAGAGAACATCCTTAATGAAAACAAACCGATTGTATTTTTGCCCAAAACAACTTGAAATCGTAGTATAAGAATAAATAAGAATTAAAAAGCAGAAAAAATACTAAACAGCGTCCTATATAAAAAATAATATACCTATAGAATAGAGGCATACAATCTTGGTAATAAATTAAAACTGAAATTATGCTTTATTTGTAAAAATAAAACGATTGATTTTGTCAAGAATATTTAACTAGTTTTGAGACCATCGTAAACTTGTTACACTGATGCTCCTCATAGTTGATATTCGTATTACTTATGTATTTTTCTTTGTTATTGAACATAACATCTGTAAGGTAATATTATCTGCTACTTGCATACAATATTAATAATATTAATAAAATGTCGATAATTATTTAGTTGAAGTATTTTTTATAATAACCTTTTTTTTTAATAACCTTATTGTATCAATTTGTATATTTCTGCAACAGACTATAGCATACATAAAAACCCTTTTCAGATTACAGTAGCAAACCATGTTATGCAAATGGGACGTGGGAACAACAAACGGATTACAGTACATGCAGTGTCTCCCCGCGTCTTATCCGCCGATATCACTTCCACATCGGTGTGTTATCATTCTCTATCATCTCTTGCCTGCCTGCTGTGTTCATATTCTTTTTCTACAAGCGGCTAAGGATAACGAGGGTGATACTGCACAGAAACTTGCTCGTTGCAATCATTATTAGAAATGTTCTGGTCATCATTAGCAGAAGTGTGGTAAGTTGTATACAATTATGCAATACTTGTCTAAAAGCAAAAATACTTTAAAAATAATGAATAATTTTATGTCCTATCTATAGAGCAGATGTAAAGGTACACAATGTGCTTTTTGATTTTAAGAATTTTGCAGAACATACGTGCATAAATAAATAAAACATAGTAGTATATTTTCGTACTAATTTTTGCAAATTTATGGCCATGTAATAAATTATTATTATCTAAGTAAACAAAAACTAATATATAAAAATATCCAGTTAGATGTATCCATCGTAATAAATACAATTAGTATAAAATAAGATTTTATAAGGCAACGAAACACCTGAGGAAAAGCTGTTTGGTAGATAGAATATACTTATTCGATTATTATCTACTTTTCATATTCAGATATACATAGATGAACTCTCCAACTCGGAAGATACAGTATTGTCAAATCACGGTGTAGGATGTCGCATGCTTAGCGTAGCCGAGCGCGTCGCAGCCAATGCCGTATTCGTCTGCATGCTCACAGAAGGAATTTACCTCCATCGGCTAATCGTTGCTGTCTTCAAAAATAATATAAAAATCAACTGGTTATATGGTTTTGGTGCTGGTAAGTATAAAGTATTGTTCTATCTGTAAACGAAGTAACATTCTATTGGTGATGTTGCTAACGGACAGATGAAAAATACGTCTATAGATGACGGTTACCACTTTCCATGAGGTGGGCAGTCAGCTTGCTTGCCAGTCTAAATTGCGTAAAAAAATATTATAGATTTTTTGTAAAAAAATATTAAATAGGTATTTAAAGTATGTGTACGTAGTAGTATATTTTTATATTTTGTTGTATACAGTGATTGCCATTGTCCCCGTGGTGGCTTGGGCGATAGTAATGAGTAAATACAACGACCACTCTTGCTGGGTAATATACACAGTCAGTAACATTCAATGGATTCTAGACACACCCAGGGTCGCTATTTTATTGATCAACACCATTTTGTTCGCCGATGTAATGAGGGTTTTATTGACGAAAGTAAGGAACAGCGAGAATGCGAATCAACTGTGAGTATTAAAATATTTGTAATATGACGACAATACAATGATTATTAAATGATTGTTTTATAATCAGATAAAAATGTATGTATAACATTTTTCAGAAGCGTTATTGTGTGATGTGATTTTTTTAAGTAGAAACATGATAAATTTATGATATGATTTTATCGTCTGTTTTAATAGAAGTTATTGAAAAGTAATCAACTTTTATTTAAATTATCATAGAAACTTTAAATTAAATCAGTAACAAATCGATACATTCATTCAAGTAATGAATTTTATTAGACAACAGCAGGCCCTCTTATGGTCGGGACAAACATCCGTTTGTTTACATTTTCCTTAAGTATATACTGAAACAGACATACAAGCTGTTATGTCTAGTACTGTAAACAAAATACCGTAATTAATTTCAAACAAAGGTAAACACGAAATTTTAAATATTTTTATCATATGAAAAAAATACACTAATCATTGTTTACAGCAGGTATATAATTTATAATAGAAGATAAATATAAATGGAAAATACTTAATAGTTTCATTATTTTGTTATAAAGGAATACTGCCAAAGCCTCTCTATTTCTGATGCCAATTTTTGGAATCCAGTTTTTGCTAACGGCATTCAGGCCTACTACCAGCAACTGTACTGGCGAGCAAGTCTATTATTACATCGCTTATTCAGTTGAAGGACTCCAAGGTTTTATTGTAGCTATGCTATACTGTTATGTCAATAAGGAGGTAATTTGTTAGATTATAATATATTAGAATTTAAATATGAATTTTCCACATACCACTAAGAAAATCATTTTATTAAATATTATATTGAAGAAACAAGATTCAAAATATGTCCATAAAAAATAACTCATTTGTTTGAGCTATAAACAGTCCACTTCCAGATCTTACTTTTCTATTGTACTTTAATTTGAGCGCTCTATAATACATTATACTATTTTAGGTACGCATGTTGGTAAAAGCAACTTATAGAAAAACAGAATCTGCAATAAGATCTCGAGTTAGAGGCGATTCCATATACCCGCGAATGAGCAACATAAATTCCGACAGAAGGTTCACCTACAGTACGGGCTTACCATCGCAACAAATAGATGATTTAAAAAATGATTATGCCACTGTTAACCCAAAATTGCATGTCGCTGAAATAATATCAATTGACACAACTGAAAAATTAGCTGATATACTCGAACCAGTTTACGAAACGATTGGAAACGATACAACTAATGAGGATTATTCTTTTGTAAGATCTAATAAAGAGAATATCTCTGGATGTAACTCGAAGATAGACATGAAAGCTGACGATTATTATGGCTTTACAAATGCATCAAGTATATCTATAGAATGCCCCGATTGGATTCGAGATGCCTCATCACCAAAAAGCAGTGTTTACAAAAATTCACAAAATGATTATGAAACAAAGTTCTCAGATAAAAGAAATTCTAAACATATGAACGTACAAGAGATGGAATTAAGAAAGAGAAATCCAGTCCATGATAATTCAATGGAGATTACTTTAGAGAATGATCCTTCTCTAATAAGGTTTGAAAATAAAGACACAAATAATGGTGCACAAAAAGAAATTGATAGTAGTGTTAACAAAGATAAAAACAAACACAATGAAGTTCAGAATAGTATCGTGGAAGATAACGCATCTGGTTCAAAGGTACCTGACAATATGCTTGATGAAATAATGCATTACATGGGTAATAATGATAGCAATAGCCCGAAATTAAACCCAGATCTTTTTTCCCCAAATAGAAAAGAAGAAGATAAAATAATATTTGTTGATTAGGTTATTAATTAGTGAATAAAATTTTTAGTTTTTTTTTTTCTATTTTTTATTGCATTTTCCATCTAGTTCTAACTACTCATTGAATTTACTATTTTCTAAATATAATCACTTGCTTTAATAATAAAATTAAGCTTATGAAGATAATATTACTAAGACCCATGTTGCTAAGAATATTAATTTAATTGTATTTTATCCTAAAGAAAGTAAATTTGATGTACCACCCACGTTATATAACTCCAATAAATAAATAAATATTTTACCTAAAACAGATGCAACCGATTTAATACAGATTCTTAGGTACAGACATAATCAAAATAAAAAGTTTAATGTCTACACTTAAACTTTTGCGCAATGCAGCCAGTAGTTTCGGCACACCTAAATCTCTAACGAACAAATATTAATTGATGTGTCCATTTATATAAATCTGGACCCTTTCGAAGTCAGCTTACAAAAGTGAACGGAGCAGCTCGTTCGCGCACAGTCGAGCTTGGTGTCTTTAAAGTGTCACTTCCGAAATAAAAAGATATATTTACAGAATGTTGAATAAATTCTTTGCATTGTTGTTATTGTGTTGGGGTGTGTATGGTTTCCCCGATGGTGCTCCAGTAGACGCGTGTGTAAAAGACCGCCCTAACCAACCTAACCATGGACAGCACAGAACACAACCCCTTTCCACCCTACCTTATAGGGTCGTCGCATCTTCCAGTACATTTGGACCGAACTCAGCCATCACAGGTTTGTTTATATTTCAATTAATTTGTTATGGTGATATTAATTCTTTATTTAAAACGAAAAGATTTGTTAGGAAAGACATTTAATTATTTATTAAAAATCAGTCAAATTAAGAATACTGTTTTATATGAATTCTTGAATATATATTTCTGTGTCCACCCCAAAATTATCTGGTACACACCTCACGATGCGAGCAGAGCTTTTTAAGTATACGCAAATACATCTCTAAGCATACATAATAAGTTATTTTAGTGGGTAAATGCCCCCTGGAAAACGTAATATATAGTTCATGTAAAATTAAAAAATTAAAGGAAGGTAGTTTTTTTGCTTTCGCATTGTTTACACATATTTTAAATTCACGATAGGGACTCAATGCGACGAGATTACAGGTTAATAACCTAACCTAGGTAAATACCTATAATAGCGTTGCATTAAGTCACGATCGTAAATATAAAACGCAGGAAAGTCATTTAAGTCACTCCTCTCTCCTCCTCATTTTAATGAATTTGTGCTAATATAATACAAACGATAAATTTAATTTTATATTTGTTGTTTGTAAAACTCAAAAAGTATTCAAATGATTTTAAAATGTTATTATATTATTTTAAATATTATTTAAAATTCCTTCATCTATTCGTATAGAAAGCTACATTAATAACGATTAACAGCGATTTACATAAAAAATCCCGATTTACATAAAAAAAATTACATATAAAATACCCGTGCGAGGCCGGGGCGGATTGCTAGTTCGTCCATGTTAGTCTATATTAATATTATAAGGATTTTAATGTTTTCTTTGTAATGGATAAATTCAAAAACTAAATAACAGATTTAAAAAAATTCACCTTTGGAAAGCTGCATTGTTAGCAAGTAACATCCTTGCTAATATTATAAATGTGAAAGTGAGTTTGTTTGTTTGTTGCTTGTTAGCGCCTTAAGGTCTAAACCAATTACTATGAAATTTGGATACACGTACTATATGGAAAGGAGAAGGTTATAATAGACTACTTTTATTCCGATCAGTAAACATATGCCGGTCACGCGAATGAAGTCGCGGTTATCAGCTAGTATACAGCTGTACCTATATTATTTTCAATAATTCTATCTATCCGTATGAAGCCGGGCCGGATTGCTATTTAGGACATAACTTGCAAGTAACTTGATATATGAATTTATTTAAGGAAAAAAATAATAATTATCCTTAAATATATAGATTATTTTATTTACATTTATCAGAAATTACTTTTATTTTCAAAGATAACTCTAATCTATATGAACAGTGAAGCAAACAGATAGGTATGAAGAATTATCATGAAACGTAGATATATATAATTTTGAGACTACTTCATTGGTCTTTCGAATGTTTAAAACGTTTTCTAACATTGTGCTTACATGTGTTTGGATACCGCAACAAGATTTTATTGCAAATTTTTTCAAACATTAGATTTATACCATTTGATATATCTACACATGTATAGATTGCAAAATGTTACATTTTGTTGTAATAGTTATTTTGTAACATACACTGGCCATGAAATTTTAATGTATAACTGTCTGACAAGAAAGTGCAATTTGCTGTTTTAAAAAATAAAAACATATTCATGTTTCTTAACAAAAATTGGTGAAGTTTGCACACATAAGTTCCGTATATAATATAATCTATTAAATAGTATTAGTTTTCTATAGATTATTGAATAAATTACATTAATTATTTTCATTAATGTTTTTACAAAATCCTGTAACAGTAAACTACTTATTTCCTTTGGAAATATATAAAAAATATTTCATTTATTAAGACTCCTGTACAAAAAATCTAAAATGAAAATAATCCATCTATCCATCATTACGATAGGTCCGTTATGAGATAAACAGAGTGAATCGAAAGCCAAAGGGCTACCTAATTATGTACAGTCATCGCATTAATCTGTTACTTCATCCACTTTCGTAATTTGTCTCATGTGAGCACATTGGTTCCGGAACATTTAAATAACTACTAAGAATAAATTTGCTAATATTGGTAATGACCCGTTCAAATGAAATAGTAAATGATCTAATATATATACAAAGTATAATATCTAGTTACATAAAACCGCTAAATTATATAACATCAGAAAGTTAATTAAGTTAATTTATAATAATAAGAGATCTTTATATTCAACGATGTACCTATCGGCATACATTTCTATAAAATAAGTATGTATTGAGAAACGGACATTTAGTCTCAATTTACATTGCCGCGGAACGGAATGAAACGGAAATATTAATTGTGCCTCATTGCACGAAAAGGTACGCGAAATGCGATGAATGTTCAGTTGTTTAGTCTAGATCTTAAAAATAGAAAAGAGGAATATGAATGGACATCGTGCTGCGACTATTCACGCTACTTACCTTGGATATCCCAGACGCCGCCTGGGGGAATCCTCGAAAATGCACAAATCTTCACTGGACGACACGTTACTTTTTTTTTTAACTCGTATTTAGTTTGTACCTTATGCAATTGACATAAAACTCATTATACTATGTACAATTTCGTTGCTAAAGTGCGCTTCTATTTCTTTCCGCGGCAATATACCTTACGTTTAAGAAACGGATTAGCAGTCTCCGTTATGAATTTTATCAAAATTGTACCTAGATATATTTTAGGACAAAATTTGCAAGAGAGTCATTTATGAAAATATTATGTATACACGGAAGAACTTAGCGAGTTTTAAAAAACTCAAAGACTGTACAAGTAGAAACTTACGCAATATAAATAAGCTTATTTTACCTAAATGCCGTCTGCAACATGATTGTGTTCCAGATTGAAATATAGCAGTGAAATCAGCTAACTACTGAGACAGAACATCGTAGTTTCCAGGAATGGAAGGGATAACACGTCTATTACTTTTGTAGTAGTATGATGTTAGTGGTCTCTATTATTTCAGTTATAACCACGATGTTGCTCCTGTCTATGCAATGATTACCACTTTAAATTAGGTGACTACATATAAGGAATAATATATTGAATAGATGGATGAAACATATAAAATATAATAACATAAAAATGTTTTTCTTTTTGTCGCATCGTTTATACTTAATAATAATATGTTTATGTGGAGATTGTATCTTTAGGAAAAATTGTTTAATTTCACAATGATCTACTTTAGTATATAAGGCTCGTTCTACGCATTCTGTTACAACAGGTTACACGGTGTGTTAATGAGATTATTGCACGTGCTAACTTATGTAGGTATTTGTTACCAACATTATTTTAAAATTTCAGTAACCATCGAAGGCGCCGAGCCGTTCAAGGGATTCTTTATTCAAGCCCGCTCCGTGGATAGGGATGAATGGCTAGGATCTTGGGAAGAAGCACCCAATACGACTATCCATCCAGAATGTTCCGCTGTCACACATGCAGACCCTCGAGAGAAGACTAGAGCGACGTTAGTGTGGCGTGCACCACCCAACGCACAGGGGAGGGTTTATTTTACGTAAGTTGAATATAGAACTAATACCTATGTTCAAGTATTACTTCTAAAAATGATCTGATACTAGCAAGTCGGTGTTCGAAATAATGACGTTATACGAGTATAATAGTGAATCCTTTATAGATGTTAATATTACGAGTGCATTTCGTCCTTGCCACCGCAATTTAAACTCCCAAGCCGCATTTTATGCGATTAAGTAAGCTACTTTTAAAGAACAAATAATTTTAATAGCAGTAGGAAATGATAATTGTAATGGTATGTATTGTGATATAAGTATGTGTGTAAGTTAGGGTAGTAGCAGGTTCACATGTAAGCTCATAAGTTGTTCTAATCACTTTTTTTTGTTTGGGATAAGAACGGGGGTCAAATTCGCTCTATCGCGTGTACTGTTGACCTTTAACCGTGACCTCTGCGTTCTACTTTAATAAAACATGCACCAGTTTTTAAATTGGATTAATATTTTCCCGATCAAAAATTTCTTTAAAATTTGTTATGCCATTTTTCCGGGATGTCGTAACAGATGACAATTTTGAAAATTGTTTACTAGGATTCTTTTGCTTATTTCTAGTGCTTAAATGTCTCCTTTGTGAAAAAAAAAACAATGCACACTTTTTCGGTTTTTACAATTATTGTAGATATCTATAGATTAGCAAGAACATTTGGGGTAGACGTCATATACATGTGCAGGTTTGGAACGAGATTTAATGAGGTCGATGCCCCTATACTCTTTAAGCAAGTTCCTTTCACTCGAACATATTAATGCGAATTGCATAATATGACCTAGTCTAGTCATGAACGCTTTTACAGTGGTGACCTTGAAGATAAGCTTTAATCGAGTACAATCGACGATACTTGCAGTTGTAATAATCTAAGGTGGGCAACTTAATTATATAAATAGAACTTGAATCAACACAAAAAAAAATCATATTTTATTGCCCGGACAGATTCATTTGCAACAAATATATCAGCCAAGTTAATTACTGCATAGTTTAGGTGATTTATCATTAGCATTTTATTGAGCATTCTACCAGTCATTAAACCTTTTCCCCAAAGAAATATGATTGAAATAAAAAATTGTCTCATTCCAATATTTTATAAAATATCATACTATAAGGAACACCCAGTGGTCAAACATCTTTGGTATGCTCCGAATGATTATATTATTGCAAATCAATTTCGGGACGTAGTTTTCTATCTAGACATATCCATTGATGAGTTTTTTAGATTGCTAAGTAATATGGTTTGATTGAATAACATCCATATAACTCGCTTAACAAGAAATCACGCAGGATTTTTTTCTATTTAGAGTAATTATTTTTGTGTCAATCTCAGTCAATTTTTTTTATTATTTCAGAGGCACTGTCCTAAAGAATTACGGCACATTCTGGGCGAACATAATTGCTGAAGCACCACAAGACCCATCACAGCTGCAAATACTCGGTTGAAAACAATATATTTATGTATTAACATACCTAGGTTAGATTTACGTAGATTATGGATGTACATATTATGTTAATACTCAGATAATACTGTTAACGACTTACAAAAAGTGTTGTCTATATTATAAACTCTAGAAATAACAATATAGAAAAACGTCAGTGCAAGTATAATAAAATCCATACCTCATTATAAAATAAAGTATTTCGAATGGAATGTCAATGAACAGGCCATATTGCTTGAATAATCGATAACTGATGGAGACGAAAGAGTTTCGAGTGGCAAGTCCATACGGATAAAACAATGATCTCGAATGTTGCAGGAAATCGTTGGATGCATGTGGCTCACGATCGTTCCTTATGGCAGTCTATGGCTATGTTCAGCAGTGAACAGTTGACGGTTGAAATAATGATCATATTTCATATCACAATTGTACACTTCATAAAAATGCTAAAATTAGATAAACAACTATCCAGGATGAAATTGAAATCTTTAGCATTCTTTTAAGGTGCTCTATTAGTGAGAGGATAATTTTTCTCGTTTTCAACCTATATATTGCATTCAGAAACTTTTACAGTAAAACAATGTTAATGATTTCGATTTCTAACTGAATAATATTGTGGCATAAACCATATGATATGATTTTTATATAAATTAAATAATTATTGTTGCTAGGATCTATTATTTCTATTCACTAGCATCTAAGTCAATAAAATATTCTATATAAGTAATTCTTGTTTTATTTACAGAATACAATTAAAACAACAAAATAAAAATAAATTAAATTTTTTTATTGCTTGGAAAATAAAATAGACAATTCTTTTACATTTTATATATGTATCATGATCAGTACATTGCAAGTGATATTCCAAATAGTCATACTATGCTTGTTATCTCATATAAGCGTAATTGTTAATACGTATGTGTATAAATGTGTCGTAGTTACTCGAAAACCAAATGATTAGTTATTTACGACGACAATAATATACATAACTTCATTATTAAAGCACCAAATGCTCCACAAGTTCGTGACTAATCGCTACGATTCATGCGATACAGATATGTAATTTTCGTCAAACACGACCCCGCACTATTGTGTAATAGTACACGATTGATACGAGCGGACTTATTTTATCTGTAGAGTAGCTAAAGTCGATATTATCACGAACCTAGTGTATATTCTCGAACTTCTAATACCTCGCAGTCCCAATTTAAATTTATATTAGTAGTTATACGCGTTTAGAAAACTAAACATGTAATAGATGAGTGAAATAACAAAACACATTGCATGTGTTTTGTTTTGTGCAATGCACGAGGCAGCAACAGAAATTGCATTTCGAAAATAAATGCTACAATACTTAACACTACATATTATAAAAGCATTATTTAGTGTATATTAGTTTATGTTGGTTTCTGTTTCAAAACTGGCCTCTTAATATCCATGAGATCGCATAGTTCGTTCCTTATCGGCCTTAGTTCTGCTACATCCTTTTCCCAGTCTGTATCAGCAAGCATCGACATTACCTAGAGAGATAATATTTAATTAATGAAATAAGTCTAACTTTAAGTAAGTAATTACAAGGAGATATAAACGACGTAAGTACCTCAATTTAAATAAAGACTAAAACAAAGCATATAACTATAATATAATACTTGCCTTTTTAACTTATTAACTCAATTCTTTTGACAAGGGAAAAGGGATTTGTTAGTAATGATGCCTAATAATCCCATTGTTAGCAATCCAATTGTTAGGTCGACTTTCACACGGTTTTCTCTAGAAACCATCGTTCTTGTTGAATTTTTGCCATGCTGTGCTAACTAATCTGCTTACATTGTCACCTATCTCTCACTGGTACCTCACCAGGGTATACTCGTAATACAAGTGGTGTTACCATTCCATTATCAACCATTAAAAAAAAATTGCTTTAACATAAATTGTAGCAACTTTGAATCGAAATGTATTTAAAATCAATTACTTTCATTAAACCTTTCATTCATAACTATATATTTAATCATCAAACACATATACATAATTTATTGCCGAGTATATCCGGCAATTCCGCTTTAAGCAAGTCTATAACTCTCTAATTGATTCAGTTTTGGGACGTACTACTTTTTTATGATTATTATTTGTTTATGCATGCATGAGGCGCATAAGGAAAGTGACCGAAGAACCTGCCTCGAGTACTTCGAATAGGCAGAGAGAAATTATGTTATAATTGCGAACAGTTTTTCTTTTAAATTGATATATAAATTTAACTGTATAATATCTTAAATGTTATTACAATAATAATCTATAGGCGATGGTTACCACTTTCCATCAGGCGGGCCGTCGGTTTGTTTACCATTATAAATCGCATAAAATAAATTATCAAAACACTTCCAAACGGAAGTCATTACTCGGATCAATTACGTTCAATTCTACCGCAATAATTAAGTATAAATATTATTTCACTTTCTTACATATTTTATCAGCTGGAGGAGTAAACTGACGGTACATAACTAACATTTGCTCCTTTATTCCTTAAATAATTAAATTAGATATAGTAGATTGTGTAAAAATATTTCATCACTCATATATGTAGAGCTACTGTTGATATATTTTTTGTTAACGCAAACACATAATCACCGCAGTACACGAATATCATTCCAGGGCTGTTAAAGACAAACTAACTGACACGACAAGTTTTACGTTCTGTGTTGCCATTTGTCTTTGGAATCACATGTAATTAAAGGCCTTTAGTTAGATTAGGAATTTACAGGATTTGCATGAAGCGAGTGAACATGTTGATAAAATTATATCGAGAAACTTCATGTTAAGCTTTCGTATGACACATATCGTAGTTTAACAAAAGAAATTCAATTCAAAATTCAATGTAAGACCAGAGTAGGTGAACTCAGTGCAGAATTCAGGGCAAGACAAAAAAAAAAAAAACTAAAACTATATACAGGGTTATCTAACCACCGTGGTAATAGTACGCTAATATTAATGAGAGAGCCGTACCCCCCAGTAGGACACCAAGAGGATGTTAAAGAAATTATGTACCTGATCGAGGTTATTGGCAGGCAGATGACACTCGTCGCCGTAGAGCGTGAGAGCTTCGTAGAGTCGTGCGGCAGCACAGCGTCGCACGTAGCGGTCCGCGTAACACAAGTAGATCACAAGCTGTCCTAACGCACGTCGGCAAACCATGCCGCCCACCTGATCAAAACATCAGAGGGAGACTTTGTACTTTGTAAAAGTCGTTTGCTTGGGTACCTCTGTCCCATTCGTGTTTCAACCGTAAATCAGTTCCATTGGAATAGAGGAATAACATCTGAGTCCTCAGGAATAGCAACAAATGGGAGGTATCATGGGCGAAACAGTATACTCTGTTATGTCCATGGTATTGCTCATGTCTATAGGCGACGGTTACCACTTTCCATCAGGTGGGCCGTCAGCTTCTAAGTTGTATAAAAAAAAATTTGTAACAATTGCATACGGCCCGCCTGATAATGGCAGTCATAGTAGTCCATGACACCTTGTAACACTAAAAGCATAGTTTGTGCATTGTCGACCTGCGCGACATCTAACTTACATATGTTAAGTGATGAGAATGTACAATACAGACAAAAAAAGTTTTCAAAATGTGAAACGCCTGACACTGTACACTATATATAAAATAATAATTTAAGAATACCCTCATGGTCCCGAAACTAGTCGAATATTCACGACTCAATCTGGATATTCTTACATTAAAATCGATAAAACTTTAATACATTTTTTCTTTTAATTTTGTATTATTTTCTAGCAAAAAATCAAACACGGCGGAAACATTAATGTAATTTTTCAAAATAACAAAAGCTAACACGTTAATATTTTATATAATTTGATTATGGTTTATAAAACTCACATTACAGATAAAACTCTTAAAATAGCTTTAATTTTGCAAATAATAAATAAAAAAAATCTAGAAACATAAATACCTGAATTAACTGACACAATACATTAATTGAATCCAATAATTTGTAAATATTTTTTCCTCCCCTAAGTTCCAATTGTAAATACTTTAAAATGTCCATAGGAAAAGTGGATTCAGGATTTTGCAATATAGGTGATATTGAACCTGTGAAAAATAACATTACAATAAAAAATAAATAAGTTTATCATAAATATATTATAAATGTAAAAAATATAATTAAAACATAAAAATTGTCTACAATTCATATATATAAAAGTAAAAAAGTTGTTTATAATAAAAGAATCACCTTTTACTAATGAATTTCTATTAATTTATGGATAAATAGTTTTGTATATAATATAAATATAAATTTTATTGCGCTTAAGTAAACTCACCCGAACTCAATAGCCTGTCTAAGAAATTGAATATAGGCCCAGTAATCCTCTTCACTTGAATATTATCCGCAAATACTTTTATAATAGTATCGCAAATAGCTGTTAACATTTCTTTATTTTCGTGTAATGAGTTCAAATAGGAGAACAAAGATTGTGTAGTGTGCTTTACCTGCAATAAAAAAAAAAATAGTAAGTTTCAATAGTTCTAGTAATTACGCTTAAATGTCTAAAATTTAGTGTACAGACTGACTATATACTAAGTTAATACATAGCCGACTTTTTATCCTAATTAAAACCGCAGTATACAGCTTTTATTATATATATAGTATATAAATATAAAAGTTTGGACACATATTTGGACATTTGTTCTTCAATCTATGAAAGAAATACAAGTGTGCTGCAGATGGTTTTAAGCCATACTTTATGGTAAAATAGAGAAGAAACATATGTAAGTAGACAATAGATAGACTGCAATAATGTCGATAACAATAATAAATGACATAAAAAAGGTAAGTGGTACTAACCAAACTCTCAGTCAATTCTCCAGCGCTAACTACTAATCCTTTGATCACATTATATCTATAATCAGGAAAGCTCAACAACTGGACAAATCTAGGCATGGTGTGCCCAGGGAACAGCCACAAAACTACATTGGAATTCTCACTGGTGGTTGGCTGTTCGCCATCATCTTCCAATTCCTTGGTCTGAGGTTTCAGTTCAACTTCTTCTGATGGAAAAATTCGTTTCAATGCATCATAATGGGGAATGTTATAAATTTGTGGATCACTGCAAATTGAAAGCAATAATTATTTTATAAAATAAATTTTTAAAATTAAAATATTAAAGTGATAATAATAATTGGAGTGCTAACAATAAGAAAATTAGACTTCCTTATTCTTTATTTATTAATTAATTTTAATCAAATTAGCTAGTAGAAAATGCTATAAAGCATTGAGCTCACCAAAAAACAAAATAAAATTAATAAAAACGTGGATAGAATTTTAATTGCATCTGTATTATTTGTCAGCAAATACAAATTATATCATAGTAAAAAGAGAAAAAGACATACTACAACAATTTTGCTACCGAATAATACTAAATTAATAAAAAAATTCACATTCTCACTTATATATCAACGATGTGAAGATCCTGCCCGCATGTGCTCGTGTGCGGTCGATCTTCTCGACGGCCTGCTGCGCCACGCCACACATTATGCTCCTTATAACTTCAGGACTGTTCAGGTGGGGCGCTTCGGAGGCACATTGTCGACAGATCGACAATAATCCTTAAAGATAACATTTAACACAAAATAAAAATCTAGATATCTTCGGAGGTATAAGTTTGCTTTTTGTATCCCTGGTGAACAAAGTGACAAACTATGTATCTACATTCACGCCATGTCTAAGACAAAGATAAACACAAAAAATTCGAACATCTACAAATTTCCAAAACCAATTATATACCTATTAATTCAACAATAAATGTTAAATAAGATAAAAAATGTGTTGATTATAATAAAAAAATATATATATATATATATATATATATATATATATATATATATATATATATATATATATATGTATTCACCGAGACATTCGAGCAACGCGTCTACAATTTCATTGACATATTTCTCAACTCCGTTGACAATTCCTTGTGTCTGACACACTTCTGTAAGTCCAATGACTGCATCGCGACGAGATTCGGCCCATTTGTGACTAATCTCTGTCACTCATTTAATAATTATTGAAATAATGGCAGGTGCTCTGCTAGATTTTAATACGATATGTAAAAAAAAAAAAAATTATTCATTCAAGATGTAAATAAATGTTTTGGTTTGCTTAGACAGGGAACAGGTTCTTAGTAATAGGAAACAATAACCTTATTACAAATATAATCACCCTGTGAAGTTCGCAAACCCCTTTTAAAATTAGCATTATTGAATTCATCAGGATGGGCCAATTGAACTGATATCATTCTCACCTCAACAACACAGAGGGAGACTTTGTACAAATGTCGATTGCTTGAGTACCTCTGTTCCATTTGTGTTTCAACCGTGATGCAGTTGTGTTTGCATGGCTGTGTTTCGGTTTGGAAAAATAAAAGCATATTGTTAATTCAAGATGTAAAACAGGGTACAGAGGAATAACACCGAGTCCCCAACGGAATAGCAGAGATGGGGGGTATCATGGGCGAAACAGTATACTCTGTTATGTCCATGGTACTGCTCATGTCTATAAGCGACATTACCACTTTCCATTAGGTGGGCCGTCAGCTTGTTTGCCATTCTAAGTAGTATAAAAAAAAACACAGACGACATTATCAAATAGCAAAATGGGATGGTGAATTACCATTCTATTGTTCATGTCTTAAAAAAACTTACCCACAGCCCGAGCGTAACCCATCCTCAGTACGAGGCCATTAACCCCGGAACTACTCAGCTGATCGCAGTACTTCTCTACGAGCTGCATGCGCTTCTGTTTCGCAGTCATGTTCCCGTACATTAGATTGTCATCGCGTAAGTATTGGTCAATCACCAATGGCAGCGCATATATTGCTTTCTCGCGTATAATTTGCACTTCGTGTGATAAACATTCATCAATCAAGTTTAACCATTCATCTGAAAGAAACAGTGTAAGAGGATTTAGAACATTATTACAATATTTTTTATATGGTATGGCAAATCAGTTGATAATGAATGACAATGATATTATGTTTATACCAAGTCATATAAATTAAATCTACAGAAATTGCAAATAAATTTACTACATAACAATATAGGCAACCTGAACTGTTTATTTACCAAATATCTTTATTACATTCAAAATTTTTACTCAATATTTAATTAGAATATATAGTTGTTCAACTGGTAAAATTACGCAAAATATGTGAACTAATTAAAAAAAAGGCTACGTGAAGTAAAATAATAAAAAATATTCACCAATAGTGGAATGTGAATGATAAGGTGCGCCGGCCAGTGAGAGTGAAGCGATGCACTGGCAGCACGCCTGCCGCATCAGTTCGCCGCCCAGCCCGCGGAACTGATGCCGCTCCCGGATACTTCCCACCAAATCTCTTACAGCGATCATTACCTCCTCTGATATAAGTGTGTCTCCAGTCTTACCTGATCACAATATTCAAGTATTCAACATAAAATTATAGTTATTAAAATCACGCTACTCATATCAATGATTTTTGACGTGAAATAAAAAAAGTTTTGTTTAATGATATAATCATTAAACAAAACTTTATTTTTTATTTTTTGATAATTTATTTATGCAAAAAATTAAAATATGCTTACTACTGTAATCCAATACAAAATCTAGACCAATAGCATTAATTTATCTATTCTAGATCGTACAAAGAGTTAAAGGTATATTTGTAATAATTGTGCTGTTAGACCTCAGGAATGAATATGCATGAGGAGTATTTTTTATATCATTAATGCAATCACATAAAAATTTTATATTGTTTTTAAGTTAGTAATTATGGAATATTAATTACATCGGAAATTAAAACCAAAAATTAATTTACGAATATTAGTACATACCATTTATTTATTCTTTATTGACCACGTTACAAAAAAATGTTTGGTACAAAAGGTAGCGGTAGTACATACCATCAGATAGTTCTGTTTGTGATAATGCATAGACAGCTTCACCTATCGCGAGGATAGCACCGTGACGCACGTTCAGATCTATTGAATCAGTCTTGAGAATTAATTTAGGCAACACGACAGTTGCCACATATTCAGGAATCTGAAATAAATTTATTCAACTTTACTCTAAAAACTTTAACTTTAAAACAAACTTTCTATAAACAATTTTTTTTTAAATTTATATAATTTGCTATCAAAAACAGAAGAAAAGCCTAAAGATATTCATATTTACATCATGAAATTTTATAGCAAATGTTTATGTTACACTGATAATATAATTACGAAATCTAGTATGTAATAACCATGTTTTATGCTTATTATCAAAAACGTAAATTTAGTATGCTTACTTCAAACATATTTTACAAGATTTTATAATAAAAAATACATAAATAATATTACAAATACAAAATATAATATCAGTGATACTACATAACCTAAATTTACTAAAATGATGACAAAATATGGTTCAAATGACAGCATATTCACAATTTAAAATGCCTATTTATATTTCTATTCGCTTAATAAAAAGATCTAACCTTATAAGACAATTTGTTCAGAGCTTTAGCTGCCAGCTCTCGTATGGCACAGTCCCAATGTTCAACTTTAAGGTCTACGAGGTGATCTATTAAGGGTTGCGTGTATTCAGGGAAATTGGCAACTTGAGGAGCAATTACAAGGTAAGCATTGTTCCGTGGTCCAACAGACTGGAAATCAGCGGTCGTGAGGACGTCGATCCCGTGCGGGAACATGCCATGTCGGCCGACATTTTCTTGATAAGCCGCAGAGGCTGCGCGACGGCAATTTATCTGTAATTGTAAAAATTGAACGAAAATATATTTATTTTTTAGTCTAATAATATTTTAAATATATCATATGGCCTTTATTTTTTATTTTTAGGGGCTTTAAACTTCTTTCGGTATATCAGCCCTATTCTATCCGTTATCTACTTTGCCTACCCACGTAATGAGAGATCATCAAATCAAATCAAATGGGCATCAATAATTTACAGAGATGTTAAAAATCTTAAATTTTATATATAGATTAAATAAGACCAATATTTAATCTATTTAAGTGAAAATGGTGCATGAGTTCTTCTCTATCCATCGAGTTTATAGTAAATGACGCACATCATCGATGGGGTCACAAACTTGGTTTATAAATATAAAAACGCTTGAGAGACGGATTGGCAACCGCAGTTAGGCTTTAGAGACGTTTTAAGAGGGACACTGCTGCCCGTCCCTCGCCCTCCCGACACCCACGGGAAAGGAAGGGGTGGTTTATTTTATACCGGGATTACACAGATGAATGTTTGTTTGTTTACTTTAAATTGAGAAATACGAGAATTTTATTTTATTATTTTTAATTAGAGAAATTTTATCTTAATAAAAAATAAGGCCTAAGATAGCAGTAGGGGTAAAACAACGTATAATGTATCAGATAATTTTTATATGAAGAACACTCACCTCCCTATCGAAGCAGGCGGTGGCAATGAGCGCGTTAGCAAGCATAGTCGCGTGGGGCTGCAATGCTCGTGCATCGTACGCGCGGGCGAAGGCCCAGGCGGCGTGGCAGGCGGCGTCCCTGGCCGCGCGGCCCCCGCCGCCCGCGCCGCAGCCCGCAGCCCGCGGCTCGTCGCGGGCCAGTGCGGCTGTCACGCGGGCTATACCATCGCCCACCTGCGTGGGGGACAGTAGTCCGCGACGAGCTGCCGTAATCAGTGATCAGTTTAACCTTTTCATATTTTCTGGTTTCCTAGTATCCGGCGACGTAATATATAGACTATCTATGGTAGCTTAAGCCACAAACATAGGCACATTTGCATTATTCATAGCTTGAGAATTCGTCCAATAGTATGTCTGAGGCTTTACACATGTGTGGTACCGATTACTCAGTATCGGAGACAAGGGATTGTTAGTAATGGCGATTAAGGGCCCCACTATTAGTAATATACTAAGTCAGATCACCCTTCAAATGGTTTCTCCTGAAAACTGTCCTGGTTGATTCCTAATTAATTTTCTTGATGAGCAAAGACAAATGACATGACTGTAGCGTTCCTTACTTGACATACATTATAATCAATATTAAAATTTATTTAAAATAAAATATGCAGGAAAATTTCATTAATTCATTTATAATTCAATTTACCCAATTCCGCAAGCGCCATACACCCTCCATGCCAGGCGGTCTCGCGTTCATTCTCAGCAAACAGTGCCAGGACAGTCTCGCAAACGTCAGCGGCAGCAAGGGCGGGCAGCCGAGCACCGATGCGACCTACGCCCTTGGCAGCTGACCAACGCACCACAGTATCATCATCGCGTAGAGAGCATAATAGTAGTTCTACTACATCTTCTACCTGTTATGATGAAATTTATATCTCAAAAATTAAACAGATTCCATTAAACATTTGGTTGGAATAATACATTTAAGAACATCATGATACTAATCAGCTTGTGATATAAGAATTTGATACAAACATCTTGATAGCATAAGCTCTGATTAGTTCAAGACTAGATGATGTATAGTGTTGTCTAGGACTGCAGTTATTAATAATATTAGGTCTTTAAACAAAAGAATTTTTAACCAAAATATTTTAAAAATTCAATTTATAAGAACATATACTATGTTCGTACCTCCTGTGGTATATCTTCATCATCATCAACAGGTGGTGACGTGATAGTTTCTGTATCTCCCGCAGCAGGCACGCCACCCAAAGTGACAGCAAGCGATCGTGATCCGCGTGTATAGCGCCACGAAGCTACCCGTGGTCGCAAGAATGTCAATCCTAAAATGAAAAATATTGTGCTTTATCATTTTTGAGACATTATAAAAATTCAAAATTTTATTGCACTGTTTTGAAATAATTAAAATAATTCTACTGATATCATCACAGCTTACTTCATATTCATGTTGGTTTTATACCAAGTTTACTTTATACAAGTTTATGATTGTACTTTTTTTTTACCAAAATCTTAAGTTGTTTGAATCCTTAAAGTTTTATTTCTATATTTATGTCATAAAATTATTTGGTAGTGTAAACACAGAGATGAATTTTTTAGAGAGCCAAGCCAAAACTTTTGTTTTTATAAGATGAAATAGGCAGAAATTTTCACTACTAGTTTGAAATTCCTTAATAAATATCTGTCTTAAATGGAAACTAGATTTATAAATTATTTTTAACATCTAACTACACCAGTTAAGACATTGTATATTGATCAGTCAACAAATATTCTTACCAATTCTTTGAACAATTTTGACTCCATATTTTCTCACTAACATAGCTTTATGCTGTTTATAATTTTGTTTTGTCACCCATTCAAGTAGTTTTGGAGCATATGGTAGCAAATCATCCCTCTTTCCATGTTTTAAGACTGCTGCCACTGTAGCCAATACTCCATAGTGTATGGTATCTTCTTCTTGGAGATTGGAATGTAACTCACATGCCCATTCAAAAAATGCCCCCATGTATAACTCTTTCACATCAGACCTATACATTAAACATAAATTATTATAATATTTACACTCATAATTGTAAATTAGATATATAGTGTATTAATTAAGATATACATATATTGTATATATTAGACATTATGATGTCTACATCTAAATTTTGGGAGAAAAATAAATAATATTTTTTTTACCAATAAAAACATTAGAAAACCCACCTTATAAGAAATTTAGAAGCTAAATAAGCACTGGCTTCTGCACATGCATCTTTACTAAGGGCATAGGTCTTACAGATATTGAAAACTTTTTCCATCACCGTTATTTTCTTTGAAGTTCCAGCATCTGTAAAACAATATATTATTTACATAATATTTATCTAAATCATAGTTAAAAATTAGTCATTGTTCCATATTACAATGTCTGCATAGAAGTAGAAAACATCTTATTGTGTATTATTTAACTATTTTTCCACCTATGCCAGTGATAGATTTGTTACATATTATATTTTATTAAAATTTTTAAGGAGATTATTTAAATATAATAGTACAATAATTTACCTGGTTGTCCTGGAACAAATCCATCTAATCGACTCATATGGAATGGAATAATGACAACAATAGACAGCCATAATAAAAGCACAAATCGACTGCGCCAGGTTTCTTTGTCTTTCGGGTCTTGTGCTTCTAGGAATGATAAAACTGTAAGAAGATCTGAAACTTCGTGCGGCAAGTGTCTAACCACTACTTTATATCCTCTAACTCTAAAAATCTGATACATATAGTTGAATGTTGCATGTTTTAATTCAGGTGGAGACTCTTTATCCTTGATTAATGTTAAAAATTTTGTCAAAATCTTGTCTAAGTGAGGATCAAGCAAATGAGGCTGCTCATAATATTGTTTCAAAATGCTGTACAGTTTATCATACTCAACTTCAAAAGAGGGCGAGTTGTAAATATTTTTCACATTATCGATCATATTCATAACTTCATCTACTTCCGAAAAGTGCTCCAAGGCACATCCCAATCCTATATTATCACATTCGTCATCACGATTCAAATCGGCGTCTAATCCTACCATTGTCTTGAATAAAATAAAACTTTCTGCGGCGAGCAAGCAAATGTTTCAAAAATGAAAAAAAATCCCTTGGAAACGATAGTAATATATATATGAAAACTCAAATAAACATAAACTAGACAAAGATAATTAAATAAGGTAAATATTAAATTGAATTGTAATTAATTGCGAATATAAATTAATAAAATAGTTTTCGATACAAGAAAAACATATATTTTATTCGTGACGTCCACAGACTACTGATGAGAATCAGATCGAGAGTCACTGTCAAATTGATTAGCTCTGATGCACAAATTAAGGATAATACATGTGATTCTAACTCTATATTCAGATGAATTATCAGTCAATATATTTTTTACAAATTAAAACCATTGGAAATTAGATAGGTAAATACTTTAATAATTAGAATTTAGAGAATTAGAAAATAATAACAAAGAATTTATACCAATACATTGTATTTACAGAGCAAGTAATCATTTAGGTTAATTCTGAATTTCTGACATCCTGTATTGGTGTTTTAAGCTAAGAATAAGAAATTACATAGAAGAAATGATAAAATTGTCAATTTACAGCAGGCTAGTGTACAGAAAATCTTATACACTCATACACACATATCATATTAAATTTATTTTTCCTTTGCATGTATATAACATATCTTGTGTTGTCTTCCTTTCCAGAGAACTCAATTGAATGATTTATCTACATTACTGGAAAATGTCATAATATAAATTACACGGAGTCTTCTCTAACCCTGACATTGGCAGAAAATCACCGTTGCTTCTACGGTGGAAGCCATTATTTTTTAAAAAAAGAAGAAGAAGAAGAAAATCTTATACGGCCGTATAACCCTACCAAATTCAGATACAACCTATTTGTATCAAATATATAATCTAGTAATGTAAAATTTGTCATTGACTAAATAATTGACATATCAAACATTTTCTATATACTAGCCTACTATGAATTGAGAAAAATGACATTGATGGATCTTTCTACTAATTATATTTGCATAAGAAGTCCTCTTTTTACTAATTATATTTGCGTAAGAAGAAAGGAGGCAACCATATAATATACAGTTTTTATGTTAACATTCGTAGTATGTAATTCCTTGTTCTTAGGTTTTAAGTCTGCAGATATTTTGAGAGAGCTTTGAATTTGAAAATCTTTTATATATAAAAGATTTTCAAATGTATATATGTAGTTTAATATAAAATCTTCTTCTTTTTGAAGTCACTTGAAAACAATTTAGTTTAATATGAATAACATTAAACAGCCTATATAACATTTAATAATATCTATATATACATATCTATATAAATATTATATTTATATTATGTAAAAAATAGCATACATATACAAAAAATAATTTAAATAATTCAATTCTTATTAAAAAAAAAATTATCTCATCTTGGTAATTTTAATTCGTAGTGGGGATTTTTTGGATATATGTAACACTAATATAATAAAATTGGCACGAATTCTTTTATAAACAAATATGAATAATTTTACGTTAATACCAAGTCCAGTCATAAGTTCTGATATAAATGAAAATGAATTTTTTTTATGAAGTTATGTAATATTACTAAAATTTATATATACATATTTATTAAAGTCGCAGCAAAAAATAAAAAAAAAATCTATTCGAAATTGCCACCTTTGGCTTTTATACAGATATTTAATCTGTTATATAATATAAATAGTGCCGTTATCTTATATTTATTAAAGTGGAAAATAAATTTCGTTCAATTTTGAAATCAGCACCTTTTTTTTCTAAAGAGAGTAATTCTGGGCGGATCCGGAATCCGGATTGGATCATATTACAATCACATTAATCTAACGATAGTAACTAGCCGAATTTTTAATAACTAAACTATCCGGCTATAAATGGTGTACTAGCCAACTAAATAACCAGTTATTAAGCTATTGTATGAAAGACTCAATATAATCGACTCAATAGTAACTGCCTAGTTGCATTACACCCGGTTTGACATCAATAAGTTAAATGATGTGATTTTGTGAGTTAATAAGTTAGATTATGTGATTTTGTTTATTTATTTATTCAACGCACTACTTTGTAGCTGTTATTATCCAATAATAAAACAAACCCTCAATTATGGACGAAAAACAAACGTATTTGCCTGTTGATAGTCGGTCGTTGCTGCGATGTACGGGCGCTCGAGGATAACTTTAACCAATAGCCAGTTCCGTCGACAACAAATAACTTAACTGCAGCTATTCTTTACATAGCTGTTATATAGTTGAGTATTTGTATAGCTGCCATAACAACATTAATTACTCACGTTCACAATTTGATTATCTATTGAATTGCGTGTTTTCTTTTAATTAATTTTTTTTGCAAAGTATGAAGGACAGTAATGAACAATACATATATTATTGCGATTTGTTAAAATTGATATTTCTTTTACGCAATTGTATTTAGATGAATATTATATCTATATGTGATTGTATTGCAATGAAATCACCGGTTGAATGCTTTGTTTTTTTAGATGAAAACTATATATGTGTATAATTAAAGTGATATCGATTTTTTTAATTCGACATGAGCACTCGTAAGTAATATTATTTCTCATGTTTGTGATTACTGCTGTCCGCCAGATTTATTTACATAAATCAATATATTTTAGAGGGTCGTGGACCTGCAAAGAGGAAGGTGAAACCAGTTGAACCGCAATCCTTACTTGATTTCGATCTTGGAGAAGGGGAGAGTTCTGATGATTCCGATTTTCGTATTGAAGATCATCCTGAGGAGAGCGACGACTATTCTATAAACTCCGATGATGACAAAAGTAAGTGAATTGTACTGCTCATTAACATTCCTTACAATTTTTAAATATAAAAGAGCATTTAGAACAACCAACTTGCAGGGTATTAACTGAAAGCTCGTCTATTTAGGACCACTAACAACTTCAGTTTGGGGCTTAAGGTATCCATTGACTAAACCAACCACTTTAATGTAGAATTTTCTTTTAACAAATTGTCTGCTTATAAACCATTCAGTTCATCAGTTTCTATAATAATAATGCATTGATCTCAATTCTAATTTCACAGAAGGGAATGCAAACAGTGAATCGTCAGATGAAGAAGACTCAAATTCTGATACTGAAAATGAATATAAAAATTCTAACAACAAAATTGGTGAAGACATCTCAGTTACTGATATACTTGAAACAGCTAAACAGAAAGAGTTTAAGGTATCTAATGAGATTGTTATGTTTAGTTTGTCAGTAAAATACATTATTAGAAAATTAGGTGATAAAAATGTGATAGGCATTATACATTTTTATTATTATTTATAAATTTAAATTATTATTTGCAGTTTCCTGGTGATCTAGCCAATATATTAATATGTGCAGGCTGTTTGGGTTCAAGAAGTGATGATTTTAATGAGATTGTTGGTTGCGATGGATGTGGTGTCACTGTACATGAAGGTATGGATATTATGTAATTATTTTGTATAGTTCATACCAAAAAAGAGTAATTTAATTGTACAAATGAATAAGGGCTTAAATTAATAAACATGAAATAAGGCAGATTCTTTGTTGGTAGTAGTAGTAGTAGTAGTAAAAATCTTTATTGTACATAAGTCAGATTAAATACTAGTAATTTCTTTATCAGTTTCTTGTTCTTGTACCAGGTTGTTATGGTGTCTCTGATGTGGCTAGTGAATCCAGCACAGTCAGCTCTGCATCAACAGAGCCATGGTTTTGTGAGGCTTGCAAGGCTGGTGTTACAGATCCCAGTTGTGAATTATGCCCCAATAAAGGTGAGGTGAAAATATATTTTTAATGAAGAATATTTTTAATTGGATGTGTTAATAAGACAAAATTATTTTATTGTTATATCTTGCTTATAAATGCAAAAGACATTATTGTACAATATAAGTACAACACCTCCCCCCAATAGGGGAAGACATATGTTCAGCAGTTGAGAATTAATGACTGAAATGATGATGATGATGATGAGTACAAAATGTAATGTAATAATTATGTATATGAAAGTGGAAGATTTCAAGTGAGAACTTATACTATTTTCTCCAAGTAGTAGTAGGATCATTTGATATATGTATGATAGAAGATGCAAATGTGAAATAAATATATCATTATATTTTCAGGTGGAATTTTTAAAGAAACTGAAGTAGGAGCATGGGTGCATTTAGTATGTGCATTGTATGTACCAGGAGTAGCATTTTCCGAGGTAATGTAAATTTGGACCAAAATATTCAGCAATTTTATTGGTTTTTAATTTAAACCTTCAGAATATTTAGTAGATGGTTTATGTGAAGTTTGCACAAACTCCAGCGGTTTTTCATTTATCACATTTTTTGTAACAAATTAATTCAATAAATGGCGGATCATTTTGTTAATGGAGATTTTTGTGTCAAACTCGAACTTTTTTAAGATGGGGATTGTGCTGTCAAATTGAAACTTTTTTCAGTGTTGACAGTATAAGCATGTTATGTCTATCATGCGGTCATTTATTTTTTTTTTATTTCACTTTATATGTAGAGAAGCACATACTGGGCCGCTAGTCATTTATATAATGTTATTACTTTTAGTAATCTTTTATATATTTTATCTCTTTAATAAGTGTCTAGACTTATACTAAAGAAGTATTGTTTGTAATAATAACACTAATAATAAAAAAATAATTCATTATCATCATCATCATCATATCAGTTGTGTACTGCTGAACATTGGCTTCCTCAAAAGGTGGGGTTTGCCAGTAGTTGCCGCACTTGGCAGGAGGCAAAGGCTGAAAAAATAATTGACTCAGTATAATTACAGGTGGAACATTTGTCAGGCGTGACATTATTTGAGATGGCCTACTCCCGGTGGGGCGCTAGGTCCTGCGCCCTGTGTGAAGATGCGACTCTAGCTCGAACTGGGGTGTGTGTTGGATGTGATGCTGGTCTTTGCAAGACATTTTTCCATGTCACTTGGTAAGTAAGGTTACAAATCAAAGTTATGACATTATTATATTAATATTATATAAACATAAAGGTTTATAAAGATGATTGGATATTTAAATATTTCTTACTCAATCACATATAAGAATGAATTTTAATTGGATTAGCAAATAAGCTATATAGTTCATTATGCAGTAACTATGTAGTTGGGAGAATAAGCTAGTCCTAAATATATTGAGAAGTTTAACAAGAAATTGATATTGATTACAGTGGTCAACGAGAGGGTTTGTTGGCAGAAGCACACACAGAGGAGGCAGAACAAGCAGACCCTTTCTATGCTCACTGCAAGTTACATTCTGATAAGGCTTTAGTGAAAAAACGCAAGAGAAATTGGTTGGCTTTACAACTGAGGACAGAAAAAAGGTATGTGTTTCATTGTAAAAAATATATTTGTTTAACGTGTTAAATGCATAGATTATTTACATTTATAAATTCAATTTATTAACATTTATAATAACAATAAACAAAATTTTAGGAAACAGGAACTCCAAAGTAATATCAGTACAGAGGAGAATCAAAGATTCCAACGCAAATTAGTCAAATGCAGAAGGAAGTACTTGCAACAGAAGGAAAATAGGAATCCTCCATGGGGTAGTAATCTCTTACATTTTTAATATAACAATAAAGGAAAGAAAAGATAGTATTTTTGATATAAATACTATAATAAAATTATAAAGGTCTAAAAGTCTGTATACTCAGCTTTTTTTTTAAAAAAAAAACTAACTTAGAAGGCAAGAAAAGTACCATTCCAAAGAACTAATAGTGGCTAACCTTTGTTTCTAGTTCGAACCTAGTAACTTCACTGCATAATTTTTTCATCCTTTATGCCAAATCATGCCGTACAAGCTAAGTTTATTAGTGTATTGGTTTTTAAAAATAAATTAATTTGAGTACCACATGGTCAAAGTCGCGAGCTTAGCTAATACACCATAAATAATTAAGGTATTTTACAAAATTTATTTTGTTTGCTTTATAAGTTAATGATTTATGAATAATTAAGTATGAGATGTATCTAAACGGCTAAATAAATGCCATTGGTTCTTTTTATCTACCTCTTGCTTAAAGCTTATTACTTTTTACAGTGCCAACTCAGAAAATGGCTCGTATGCTCTACAGTAGTGCGTCAGCAATGAGGAAGTTCCAATTGAAAGCTGAATGTATGGGTATAGACACGCATGCGCTCGAGTTTCAAGATGCACAGGTATTTTGTTTGGTATTGTATTGAAAACATAATAAATATGTAAACTAATTATTCTAATGAAGAAACTGTTTCACGAAAAGATGGTAACTTCAATTATAACAATATTAGTATGTTGCGGGCACGGAAGTAAACCCCATTGATTGCTATTTATTGAGAACTGTTGAAACATATTTGCTAAATAAAAGTTATAACAGAAGCAACTGCCTTATAAGATAATGAGATATGTTGAAATGCAAACAAAATGTGTGGTGATACTATATCTCTCTTTTTTTTTTATTCTATGGAATGGGAAACAAGCTAATAGCCCACCTAGATAGAGGTAACCTGTTGCTTAATTTATTTCTTGTTTGTGAATATTTTATTCATATTATCGATTTTGTGTACAGATGGCTGCCCTTAAGGATGTGTCTCGCCGCTGGCACGTGCCACCAGCATTCTCTGTAGAGTTTGTCGGTTACTATTTGGATAGAAATTCTCGTGTTACATCTTTACGCAAATCACTTGAACGTCTTACTAAGGAGAACGAGACCTTGTTAGCTGAAGATGATAAATTACGAACAGAGTATGATGAGGTAAGCTACTGTGTGGTAAATGTCAGCTGTGCTAAAATAGTCACAAAAATGTATAATACATGTTAAGATTTTACCCTTAATTGAATACAGTAATCAATACAAAAACTAATTTCATTGAAGATATAACTTATTTTGATGTCTGTTAATGATGTGCGTTTGCGTTTTGATGATGAACGGATGATATAATGATGATGATGAATAAATACATCTAATATTTGAAGTGGTTTAACTAGGGTAAATAAAAATAAATAATTTTGAAGCGTTGTATTGAATATAAATTTGATGTAATGCGCTGAAGCTTGTTTTGCAAGTAAGTTACAGTTAAAAACCTGAAAGGTCATGTAATTTTCTCCTGCGTTATGATTGGCGTTCTCACGATGACGTGTGAGCGACTCTTGTGAATGGTTGTTGTTGTGGGTGATTGTTTATTAATAACTTAGCAGTCGTCCATTGGCTTTACCGCTGAAAACGCTTCATTATACGCAGGAGTGATGAGTATTCACGACATATTATTAATGCTTTAACAATGTCTAATAAGAAAATTTACCTAATAATTCCATTGCATTTAGAAGTATTTACATAATCCACGTATTTACTATCATATAGTATACACTATATTATACCATACCAACCTTAACGTTAACTATCCACTACTGAACGTAGATCTCTTATTTGAGAAGTATTTATATACTTAACTATTTATATATAATTAATAGTATCAATCATAATTTAGGCATCTAAAGAGAACACGGAAGCTTTGGTTGAGATGTCTTCAACTCGACAAGCTCTCCAGAAGATATATGAAGCAATCCTAGCTGTGTGTCCCAAGAAGGTAACACCGCCCATTTTAGAAGATAAACCTTTGCTACCACCAGTAATTGCTCGCTCAACTCCTAAAGTTACGCCTCAGCAACTCCAGAAGCGGTATGTATTATGAGATTCCAGATTACATTATCATATGATTTTTTAAGGATTAAGTGGTTTTTCCTATAAATGTATGATTTCTTTCACTAAGGAACATTGATATACAAAATATTTATTAGCTGAAAATTAAAACTCTGTAGGACATTGATGTTTGATTATGAATTTACTGGGTACAGTGGAATAATACCTGATTCCTCAGGAATGTCAACGCATGGGGGTATCATGGGCGAAATAGTATATTCTGTTATACGAGGTCTGTCCGGAAAGTTCGTATAAAAGTGTTCTGGAATGCGAGAAAGAGGAGTGGGGAGGCCAGGTAAGCGCAGGACCCCTTCCTTATGTCCCTAACAATGCTTCAGTTCTGGTCTGACCGCCGTGCGGTGCGAACTGGTTTGTCACGCCATCTGTGAAGTTACCTCTTAACGAAACCCCGTCGGCATGGAGCCCGCTTCCGTTGAAGAGCAGCGCGTCGTAATCAAGTTTCTCTCGAAACTCGGCAAGAATGGCCGTGAAATTTTTGCCGATCTCAGAACAGTTTATGGGGATGATGCTGTGAAGGAACCAACCGTCCACAAGTGGCTAAAAAGATTCAGAGAGGGCCGAGAAAGCGTTCAAGATGACCCACGTTCAGGACGTCCTTCCACTTCACATTCCGACGAAAACGTGGAAAGAATTCGAACTTGTGTTAATGGGGACCGTCGTTTAACGGTCAGACAGGTGGCTGAAGAGCTTAATTTGGGCAAAACCGTGGTCCACGAAATTCTAAGAAACGAACTTCAAATGAAAAAAATTTGCGCCAAGATCGTTCCGTGAGTTTTTGAGTAAAAATTCCATTACGGTGACCGAACACCCCCTATTCGCCGGATTTGGCCCCGTGTGACTTCTTCTTGTTCCCAAAAACCAAATTGGTACTTCGGGGGCGGCATTTGGGGGACATAAATGAGATAAAAAAAGCTACGACGGGGCAGCTGAGAAACCTACAACCAGAGGACTTTCAAGGAGCCTTCTCACAGTGGAAACGGCGTTGGCACAAGTGCATTATGTCACAGGGGGTACTTTGAAGGGGATAAAATTGATTTACCTGAATAATTGTAAAATAAAATTTTTAAAAAACTTTTATACGTACTTTCCGGACAAATACCTCGTATGCACGGTACTGTTCATGTCTGTAGGCGACGGTTACCATTTTCCATCAGGGGGGCCGTCATATTGTTTGCCATTCTAAGTTGCATAAAAAAAGTCACATACTGCATAAATAGTTGCACATTTTTATCTGTTCTCCTTTAACCAAAGGTTGTCTGTAAGAGATTGCCCTAGCGATAAGACCGCCTTTTGTACCTTTATGTGTATATTTCAATCTGTATTTATGTTACTGTATTTCACTTGAATTATTGTCATTGTATATTTTTATTTATGGTGCAATAAAGAGTTAAATAAATAAATAATGGTTATTTGTAGAGACAAGGATCTGTATTTTATAAACTTTTATCTATCAGCGAATGTAGTCTTGATTTTTAATTTATTGGGGGATGTTATGGGATGATTAACTATTATTAAACAAATAATATTCTTTATGACGTATTAATTTTACTTATTTCATTATGCAGAAGTAATGTAATTTCATTTAATATTTTCAGTGTCATATCTCATTAAAAATGAGCTATTAAAGCTTATTTGGTACAAAATATGTTAGAGCAGAGCCCCAGTTCTGCCAGTTTTAAATCGCAAGACGTTAATATGAAAAATGATTTGAATTATGTGAGAACATATTATAAAAATACAAAATATTTAATAATTATAATCATACTAACTCGTCTTGAGGTTTTTCTTATTAAATTGCCAGGGTGGGGGCTCCGGATGTAGATACTTCATTCGGTCGTATAATGCATAGTGGGTCGGCCACCAGGTCAATGTCTGTGCCCACTGCGGCAGCACTTAAGATGGGCGTTGGTTTTCCTCTTAGCGACAACCCGGACGCTCGCCATGGAAAAGTACTGTCTACGTCACTTGAAGGTGAGCAAATTAATTTACTAGTCCACTTAATAGAATTTTAAATAGTTAACTTTGCTTGTTGCCAGTAGATATTTGAGGACTAAGATACCATCTCGTAATTACGTACTCTCTGATTTCATTACCATATTTTTCCAAATTGAAATATAGCCATGCAGGTATAGCTAATTTTTGTACAAGTACATTGTCTGTCTCTCTTTGCCCAGATATCTATTTTATCATCATTTTTCCATGTTCGCTATAGACATGAGAGATATTGTATTTTGAAACCAAACTGGTCAGCTGAGTTCATACTCGTTTCTTTCTGAAATTTTCCTCAAAGCATTGTTTGCTTCGAAACGGTTTAAGTTTGATGAGTCTCCATTTTGTTATAATGGATATAGCAAATTAAGTCTTAGTAATAAAATCTATCTATAAAATTCAACATTTTTCCGTAAGAAGTAGTCAAACAGTTTTTACCCGTCGCGGCGTCGTTTCAAAATTCTGTAATTACTTTCGAATATTTAAGATTAATCGCATAAGAATCAAATCTATCGTTTTCCAGCAGGTAAGCCGTCTGTTTGTTTGCTACTCTAAATATTATATAAAAAAAAAAAAATAATTTGTAGTTGTTGCAACTGCATGCGTTTGTATTGTCAAGTTTTTGTATTAAATAAATTCAAAAAAATTATGTGGTAACAGAGTTGAGAATGAGAGCGAGTTGGAGAATGTAAAGTGTCATTACTCTATACCTTAGACGTAGCTATAAATATATTTTTACAAGTTTAAAAATTTTAGCAACATTTAACAAGTTTATCTATGTTTTCATAAAAATTATCAATATCTGGTTGCTTTGAATAAGCGGAAGCAAAATGAGTATTGCTTATGCGGATCGAAGGCACCTATAATGATCTTAATGAAAGATCGTAATATATATATATATATATATATATATATATATATATATATATATATATATATATATATATATATATATATATATGTATATATATATGTATGTATATATATATGTATATATATTGTGCTTATCCGCGCTTTTAAGATTTATTGTAGCACCGTACGCCCCAATTTTATCGTCGCGATATGAGAATGCTATAGAAGAAAATTCGTGGCCAAAACACAAGAAATGGCGTTTCTGTACAATTTTATATGTTATTTTGCTTGTTTGCATTTATATTCCATTTATATAGTGGGTAGTATATGAGTATGGAGCAAAGATAGGGTAACGTAGTGTATGTCCCGGTGGCAGCATCGGACGCGCTGGCGGCGCGAGAGTGCGCGGCGTGTGGCCGCAGTAGCGAGCGCCACCTGATGGCCGCCTGTGACACCTGTCACCACCACTACCATCTGCATTGCTTGAAGCCGCCGTTGCAGCGTCCGCCCAAGAAGAGCAAGCTCTACGGATGGTTGGTATCACATGCTTCTTCTGATATATGAAAAAAGTTTATTCGACAATACTTTCACATACAATAATTTATTGATTTTATGCTTCTGGTCGATATATGAGTCCCGGGGAAATAAAATGGCAAAATTACACAAACCATTTTAATAAAATCTCAAATGAGAATATCTGTAGAAGATCATTTTATTTATAATTCTTAATTTTATTGTTAATTGCAATAAACGAATATTCTTCGTCTATTACAATTAACTCATTTAATTATCAAATATTTTTTGTATGTTTTACATTAAATCACTTTTCATTTTTAGGCAATGTTCTGAATGTGACAAGACATCTGATTCCGAACCAGAGGTATTAGAAAAGAAGGTGCCAAGAAGGTCACGTATACGGTACAGTAAAGATGGGGCCATTATTACAGAACCGGCGAGCCCCGGCTCCACACCTAATTCGCCACCACCAAAACAAAAATCTGAAAAACCTCATCGTCTGAAGACTGAAAAGATAAAGATTGCGTCCTCAGAAAATATGTCTCCAATAAAAGTAACCATAAAGCCGTTCGAATTCAGCAGCGATGGCAATGAAAGTTCAGAACTTAAAAAGAAGGATAAAAAGATAAAAAAATCTAAACAGAAAGAGCATACGTCTGGGTCAGCTGGGGAGGGTGATAGTCCATCTAAAAAGATTAAGCGCAGTTTCACTTCGCCCACGTTGACGAACACCCCATTAATGTCAATAACTCCTATTGTGGCAGACAGTCCCAATGATTCACATAATGAGAATTCGAATGCCTCTACGAACATTGCCCTTAATAAACGAGATGAAAGTTTTTTACCTCAAAATATATCATTCTCCTCTCTTTTAAACGAGTCGAAAGAAAGAGATAGCAAAGCAATCGAAAGTTCCATAGAGAACACACTCGCAAATCTTTCATCGGATATTGCTACTTATAAAGCAAATAGAAAGCGCAGGAAAGAAAAACACCGCTCGAGGTATTCGCCTGACTTTATGCGGACTCCATCAAAGTCACATAAACATAAGAGGAAAAAGAAGCTACAGGACATGGAGAATCCTAATGAACCACCTCATCCGAGAATTACTATTAAGGTATTATTTGCAAGTACATTACTAATAGTTTTTAACAAGCAATATTGTTGATAATTATTTATTTTTCAGATCAAACCCATCCCCAAACCCGATGGTTCATTGGATACGCAAATGTTTTACGTTCCGACTGATAGTAATGACGGACCTCCACCAGCGGTAATGAAGAAACTTTCAAAGGTAATAATTTATTAAACTGTGCTTAATATATTATATGAATGTATATGTTATAGTTTTTTTTTAATGTCAATATAAATTTGTATGCAGCAAGCAGAACAAGCGACGACTAAACCGAATCTCTCGGGTGATGTTCCGGCAGTCGTCGAAACAGATATTTCGCCACCTGTAAGTATTATTAATTGCTGTCCTTGATTATAGAATGACAGGAAGTTTAATTAGGTACATTAGATTGCGTACTTGTATAAATGTACATTTTTCTAAAGAACTTAAACATAATTAGTTAATTACGTTAGCTTCTGTTTGAATGCAAAGGATCTTTGAAGAAGTCCTATGTACTGTTACTAATTAGAAAGAAAAGAATTATCTGTAATTCGTTATTTTATTTCTACAAGCTTCTCACTAATCCAACGGATAAAGCTAGTGAACCAAATATTACAAAACCGAAGGTAAGTATTTTTAATGTTATATTTTAATATTATTCTGTATGTTTAAAATTTATTGATTAGTATTTTATGTAGGTAAATATGTATATTTAGTGGACAGAAAATTATATTACCTAACAATGTCTTCTATCTTAATATTGTTAAAATAATTAATACATAAATAAGAATTCTCTATCCTACATATAATAATCATGTAATTTTGGTGTTATTTCTAGTGTAATGTCAAATAGTGTCAAGTATATACTTAAAAAATCCGGTTTTTCTCAACACATAAGTATATATCTCCTGCACTCTGCAGGTTAGCACCGCGAGCAGCGTTAGGCATCTCAGGCTTCGCATCCGGCGCTTGTAATATTATGTCCGCTTATGTGAACATTTTTGTTGATTATGTTTGGCTATTAAGGGTTATAAAAAAAAGTGTTTTATGTCCTGTATGGTTATTTAGATTTAAAAAATCGAAGTACATAGTTACTTTCATGTTTGTATTGTGTGGATATTACGGGGAAGTATAGATAGATTAGGGATAGGTAGTCTATATTTTCTTTTAAATGTATGATTTTATTGGAATTAGACAAGGAAATAGAGGCGTTATAATTTTTTTCCACTCATTTATATTTTACTTAAATTTATGCAAAAAGTACTGGCTGTGAGCATATTAGAGATTTAGATTGAGAGTGTATTACTTGTTATTTAAATGTGGTGCTATTTTTGTTGAGTTTTTACTACTACTACGTTAAGTATTTATTTAGTTATTTACATATTTATATTCGAGTACTTTATGCTTGTTCATCTTTCGTTCAAAAGTTACAAACTCAGCTCGGCCTTGTATTGCAGAGTATCTCTTCTTTTTAGCATACGCTAATATTAATCCACAGTCTGGTGTTCCATAGCCCTTTCAGACCTGAACGATACGGGCGTGAGTTGTAACTTTAAAAAATTCTTAAATTCATTTTTACGCACGAAGCTGAAATAACATGATAGTGAGATTCTAAACCAGCCAATAAGAAATCATTTTAGCGGTTAGGTGGCGCAGTAGTCTCGTGCGTGCCGGCAAGATGGCTTGGCTCCAAAACACAAAAATATATTTAATCTGAAAGAATAAAAATCTTGGGTCCGAAAGGGATAATGCAGACTTAAAAAGGTGACATAAAGATGTTTGAGAAAATTGTAAAATATATGTTGTTTTAACTGTCGTCTGCTCTTACGTTTAATGTTATGATCGTTTATGGTACGTTACCATATAATGTGCGTTAGCGTTCGCGGGTGAGGGGCGCGCGGGGCGCGGACATAGCGGGAGCGGGAGCGGGCGCGGGAGCGGGCGCGGGCGCGGGCGCGGACGGCGCGGCGGGGGCTGGCCCTGCGGCTGCGCTTACGCCCATGACGCACTGCGACGTCTGCACCGAGCCCGGCAATACCACCAACCTCGTGCGGTAAGCATTGCATGTCTGATAAATTGTTTAAGCCTAGATAATATTACGATTATTATTAGTACATCATCATCATCATCATCATATCAGACATTAATTGTCCACTGTTGAACATTAGATTCTCCCTTGGGGGGTTTTGCCAGTAGTTGCTAAGCTTGACATATGCATTGGCAACCGCAGTCAGGCTTTGGAGATGTTTTAAGAGGGGCAATGGACCCTCGCCCTCCCGTAGTTGGCTCTTACGACATAAACGGGAAAGGAAAGGGTGGCCTATTCTATGCCGGGACCACGCGGCCATTGTTAGTACGATTAAACGACAAAAATTACCTTTTTGTATATTTCAACAGAGTTATGTGTGGCTTAATTGCTGGGTCAATAGATCACTACAATGATGACGGTCTAAGTCACGTCTAAAAGCTCATATCGTCATAGTCATAGAATACTGACGGATCTGACAAATATTACATATATAGATTCGTCAGTATTCTACGACTATGACGATATGCACCTTTTTTAAGGGTTCGGTGGAAAATAATTTTAAATATAACAAAAAAGTGCCAGTAGTTTTTTAAAAGTTATTTTAGACTGAGAAAATCTAAATCTTATTTATTGTAAAAAAAATGTCGTAATCAATGAAATTTGGCAAAGATATAGCGTAACACACATATAAAAATAAAAAATGAAATAAAACTATTGATAATTTTGGTCGTAAAACCTAAAGTAAAAATCTTGTGTAATATGAATAAAATTATATTACAACGACCCCAAATAATTAGGATAAAGGCTGGAAGATGATGTTTAACCAATAAAGTACCGTTGATTTTAAAATCTCTGTTTAAGTTACTAGCGTTATTGCTGCATTAATGTTTACGTCACATAATTTGTATTGATAAATTGAAAGCAGAGGCTTCCCAAACCTCAGAAATTTCACACAATCTAATCAATGTTACAGTTCTTTATGCCTAAAAAAAGCCCGTATCTTAATATGAATAAATAATGTCGATGTAAACGTGAATGAGTCGTAACTTAAATCTTTCTATTTCTCGCACCAATTACTTAGTATTTTTCATTTTGTATGTAATCTTTTACTCATTATTAAATTAATAATATTGTTATTACTACGGTTACTTTATCTTATTTTAATGTCTAAACTTAATGAAAATTATGTCTTTTTATTATTGTAATATAATCAGTTATAATAAATAGTATGTTTTTACAGATGCGATGAATGTTTTAAGCGGTACCACTTCACCTGCTTAGAACCGCCGCTGAACAAGAATCCGAAAAAGCGTGGTTACTCATGGCATTGTGCGGACTGTGATCCCACAGTTAGTATTTGTTTCACAATATATACAATTTTTTTGTATTTTTGACGTCATTTCTTTGCGATCTTTTAATAATTTATTATAAAAGATCGCAGAGAAATGACGTATTAATTAATATATATTTACTTATAGTATAATATACTACAGAAATCATTATGATATTTGGATATCTTTATTAATTTAATTAGAAATAATGAATGGCTGAAATTTTTATAATACAATGTTTCACCTCAAAGAAATGTTCATTCAAGATCTACAGATGTACAGAAATTGAATTCTTTATCTACAAAGTGGAGATATAGGATAAACTAGATCATATGAACAGGAAAAACAATCTGTAATATATTTTTGCAGGACAACGAAGAAAATAACTGAGATGGCTACGCGTACACAATGCTGAGCTGACATATTACATAATATATAAGGTTTGTGTCTGTTGTTAATACTGTCTAACTTTGTGTCATCTTAGTATTCGTAACATTCTCTTATAGTGTTGTATTACGTTATAATTCTCTTTGTCAAATTTATCTTTAAGAATAATTTCTGATTACAAAATCTATTCAATCAATATTATAAATTTATTTTACGTAATAAATGTGCACATAAATTTATCTAATGTTGTTTAATTTGTTACCTAATACAATTGTACTAATACAATAAAATTGTAATTGATGTCAGTCCTTATTCTTGTCTCGAGAATGTTGAAAATTCTACTAAACTCGATACTTAAGTGATTATTATAGCCTATCTTCATTAGTGTTTCATCTAAGTCAATAAAGCGATTTATAATATATCCTTGAATTCAGTAGTCACATAGAACTTAGACGTCTTTATAAATTTGATAAGAAGACAAGTCGATAAAATTCTCTAAGTCTTTTGAGGATATTGACATTCATTGAGAGTTTATCAGTTACACAGAAATGAAGTCTCACAAAACTAGCTTAAGGTTTTGTGAGACTTCATTTTTGTGTAACTTTCGAGTTTCGAGTGTTAAAGATTAGATTTTAAAATCGATTTACTGGTATTTTATAGAAACAACTTCTTTATAATTTTAATAATAGTTTAAAAATAGTTTTCAAAATCCATTTTCCAGAAAAATGGTTGAACATTTTTCTTAGATGGTTGAACATTTTTTTTCTTTAGAGCTCAGTGCGCACCCCGCACTGCAAAATATTGTCTTGTTCGTTTTAATTTCTAGGTACGTAACAGATCACAGTCACATATTTTACAGGCAGTCAGCTAACAAATCTTGCTAACAACAACTGACATTCCTAACTAAAACAGATATATTTATTTTGAACGAAGTTTCGGTGTCCATTTTCCTTTTTTTTTTATAACACTGGTCAAACCAACTTGCGGCTCACCTTATGGTAAATGACTGCCGCCGCCCGCGAGCACCCGCAGTACCAGAGTAATTGCAGGTGTGCTGCCGGTCTTTTGAAAAGGAAGGTTACGAGGCTGCCCATTGCTTTCTCCATAGACTTAGTATAACGTACTAATTTAAGATTTTCTTGTAATTGTATTTATAATAAGTTTATTAATTAAATCTTTTGGAGAAAACAGTAAAGAGTATCTACCTAACTAGATGGATAGATTCCTCCAAAAGATTTCATTAATAGATAGATAAGTATCTATGATATCGTGTCAGTAATATATATAGTATAGTGTTCCATTTGACATAGAAGATATTAATGTGATAATAATTTCAAAAAAACTTTAATAATATGCTATTTTTGTGGGAAGCAATGATTGTTCCTTTATTTGTAAAAGAATAAGGAGAAAATTTTGCGTAGATTCGTGAAATATTCATCCGAAATTAAACGAGAACTGCGACATCAACTTTCCTTGACAAACTAGAAAAAGCGTTCAACAAACAGTGTTGTTACTTCGGTATTGTGTGAAGTCGAGGGCGTTATGAATATCATACATAATAGTAGCGGGTGGCGTCAAAACTTTGTCCCAAAAACTTCTTTGTTCAACTCCCAAGTGGGGTGGATGGTAGAACAATCACTCAGGGCTAATGCTTTATACCTACTTGCAAGAATTTGCAACTTGTCGCTAGTGGTACGTTTTGTCCTACAAGGGCCTTTAATGAATTCTAGGTTGATGATATTAGATTGGAATATCCGAAACTTGCTCCAAACCCGTCTATTGGATTGATTCAATTTCACCTGAAGGAATTCTAATACTTAAGCTAGTTATGGTATTTGATATTAAATTCTGTTGGGACAGGCCGTCCTTTGTGATGAGAATTATGTAATTCTGCTTAAAATATATTTAAATCGTAATGAAACATTAGGTAAATAGAGGTAGGTGTTTATTACAATCGGTTTATAAATAACTCGGAACTTATTTATTTATTACTGTCATAGAAAAACTATCTATACCATGCTGTAGTGATTCTGATGAACTATAATCGAATCATCTCTGTCTCTCAAATTAGTTTAGTAGTTTTTGCGTGAAAGAGTAATAAACGTCAGTCCATCCATCCATCCTTTCGTCCGACAAACTTGCATTTATATATAATAGGTATTAATTATGTTTGATTATACTTTTGTGAGAAAATCTATGCGAAATATTTTTGTTTTTTTTTTTATATTGTAATTATTTTGTGATATATGTATTAAGAATATGTACTATAAACGTAGTATTTAAGATTTTAATTAAATGGTCGATGACATTCTATTTTAGAACTATTTTATTATAAATAATAAATAAAGCTTTTTCATAGTGTTCAGGTCCATTTTTTCGTATTTCAATAGGACGGCGCAAGTTATTGTCGTTAGTCAACGTACGAGTTTCAAGTTTGTTCGTTTATTTTGAACAAACTTTATTCTAAATGCAAAACATCTTCACGGAAAACTATATTTAGGTTCTCCTTGTTATTGTATCGTTGCTGTCAGGATTAACATAATAGCGAATTCTGTTTGTTGTACATACCTACAACAGTTTAGTGAAATTTTCAAGAAAAAAATGTTGTAAATAGGTTTGTAGTGATTATGGTATACTAGACAGCCTTTTCGCATGCATAATCGTTTATTACAAAATTTACCTGAATTGATTTTAGGATTGAAAAAGATTTTATTTGAAATTTGTAGGTTGTTGTAATGGATCATATTAAAATGATAACCCTGCCTGCGTTATCGGGGTACCAGTGAGGGATGAAACATGAGGATAGAAGTACGTTAGTTGGTTAATCGTAACTAATAATAGTTAACTACAATAGTGTCCTAGAGTACCGCGTGGAGGTCGAGCTGGTAGGATATATTGCTAGCAAAGGGATCGCTAGTCCCTATTATTAATAATATCTCCTCTTCTTGGTAAGGTATAGGTGTGCTTGCTTAAACAGTTCTAAATCATAGTCACAGCAATATTCAATATTTTTCAATTGATAATCAATTTGGTATTAGGTACGTTAGTTACGTTTAAATAAGGCTAAAAGTATAGTTGTAATTTGAATAAGTTAGATCGGAGATTAGTAGAAATAGTAGATATGAATATAAATACAAGGCAATGTTTTCGTAAAATTAATATTTTTTTTAATCTATCGAGAAGTAGGTAGTCTGTTTCGCTTCGTCTTTCCAATCGACATTGAAGTCTACCATTTTAATTTATATATATTTATAATTGCAATTTATGTATAAGGGATTAAAGGTATTAACAGTAATCTATAGACATGAACAGCATTTATACTGTGACACCTATATGGAATATCTAATGCATTACCATTCATGAGGACTAAGGTATTAAAGTGTAATTAGTGGGAGGTACCTACGAACGGTATACCCGTACCCATCACTAATTACACTCCTACATTCATTTAAACGCTAATACAGCCATGCAAGCACAGCTATTTATCGACAGAAATGCTGTTGAAGATAACATGCATGCAGTTATTTGTGTACACATAATCTTCTGGTAAAGTCTCAGTTTTGTAATTTATAGTAAAACATATTTTTAAATGCTTCTTTTTCTATAAATAGTGTTAAAGTCATTACAGGTTTTAAGGTCTTTCATTATCAGAGGTTCAAATATAAAAAGATTCGTCTACCTATTATTAAATTGCTGTTTGTTCAAGTATTTGTTATTATTCTCGGCTTAAGGGTATAAAATATCATATGTGTCGTAAGTATATAAGAATAAAACGTATCTCAATACTAAATTTCATTCCGAACTGTTCAGCCTTTAAGTGTAATTGAGTTTCAAACATATCTTTACAAATTTTGGCATTAATAATCTTTACTTATTTATATTATTTATATTTAATAAATCTTACTACACTTTTAAGCTTGTTGTGTGTTAAATTGTTTATAGCTTATATTAGGTTATATATAAGCAAATGCAAAATAACGAATGAAGACGTTAAAACAAACATGAGCACTTATTCTGTTTTTTAAATTGATAATCGATTCGAATTTCGATGGAATAAGGGAATAAAAGCGGTTCTCTCTATAGGTATTCTGGGAGCACCGTTAGAAGTAAAGTCACAATCAAAAGTGGATTAGAGAAATCGTTAGTCGTTTAAAATATTTGTTTTATATATTCAGTTACTTTGATTCTATTAAAAATTGCAAAACATTTTCATTATTTTAAAAGTTAACGTCTATTAACGATGTCAGGGTTCGGTTTTATAGATATTCATGGAAACGATTTTTCATTATAGCAACTATGAAAGAGGAGTTATTGATGCCAGGAAATTCATTAGCAAAGTGGATTTTTTACAACTGTCGACGACTGTAACGACTTGGTGCGACTTTGCTGCCGGCGTTGTCTCGTTAGGTGAATCGGTCCCGCGTTACTTCCTGCATTCAATTTATCGCTCCTGCTATTTCACACTGCCTTCCGCTATCGGTAATCATGTTCGTATTGGTTTTTTGATAGCTCTTTATCTACATTCATGCGGTTCCTTTTGTAACCACTACGATGATCACTAATTCTTTGCGTGTAAGTATTTAACTAAGGGTTCCTTACCAAGATGTTTTGGGAGTCCTCTATAAAGTCTTTTCCTACTTTTTTTTTGGTATTCTAACACTTTTATAAAGGATTGTGATCTGAGAAATTGTTCGATATGATGTTCACAATTGCCTTTGATCATCGCACTGCTCGTTATATCAACCGGGAGTTCATACCATACCCTACAACCTAAATGGTCACGCACAGTGCGGATCTCGGGGAATTTTCTCGTGAACACTCAGGTTGCATAATGAGTTTTTTGCCGAGGTTTTCCCTAGAGATTTCGGCATAAAGCTCTTCAAAAAAGGCATAATAAGATTTCATTAGGGTCGGTAATGCGCACCTGACCCCCTCGGTACTGCAGGCTGCGGTAGTTGTTTACGGTCAGACGGGTCGTATGCTTGTTTGCCACCACTGGAATATAAAAAGAATGCCATATGTGGTAAGAACTATCTGTCTACATAATGCGAATTATTAGAAAAAGTAGCAGCTGTGTGAAAATAAGAAGATTGTGAAATATTTTATTTATTATTCTCGAAATAAGTATTTTTTTTGTAAGATATGTTGTATCAGTCATTAACTGTCCACTGCTGAACATAGGTTTCCTCATAAGGGGGGTTTTGCCAGTAGTTGCTACACTTGGCAGGCGGGTTGGCAA